AAAAAAACAATAAAATGCTGCATAGTAATTTTTTAATTAAAAACAAAGAAATATAGAAAAAATAATAATAACAAACAGATGACTATAACATAGATAATGTTGGTCTTCAAATATTAGAATCACCAAAACTCAAGTATACAGGAATATAGACCCCGTTCGGATTGGCTTCTAGCAGGAGTTTTTGGCTTTTATTTTCAAAAAAAAAATAGTTTGCATCTATTTGCATTAGCTTCTGTCTAAAAGCAGAAACAGCTTTTTGAAATTGAAAAGTATTTTTTCAAAAACATATTAGGAGAGCTTCTGAAATAAGTAGAAGCACTTTTCATTTAAAATTACGATTTTATCTTTAATAATAATAATAATAAATACAATACGATAATATAATATAATATAATATAAAAATAAATAACTTATATATTATATTTTAATAAAAATTAAAAAATATAATTAATTTATTATTGTTAATTTATGTATTATATTTGGATTAAAATTTAAAATTTAAATAGGAGTATATAAACTTTTTAATTATACTTAAATTACTAAATATAATTTATAAGATTTTAAAATAAATTATAAAATACAAATTATTTAATATTATATTGTAATTTTATGTTTAATCGACATATTGTCCTTGAATTAAAATTTTAAAATATAAATAATCAAAATTTAAAAGTACAAGTTTTATACTTTAATTTAAAATCTTTAAATATAATTTATAAAATTTAAATTAAATTATAAAAGTGTTATAGAAAAATACTATTATATTAACCGCATGTCTTTTTAAATAATTTTAACAGTTTAAATGCACTTTCAACACGTCCAAACAGTTTTTTACAAAAAGCGATTTATCCAAACACAAAATCGAACTACAGCTTTACAATAAATCGAACTGCTTCTACTTTTGGCTTCTGCTTCTGCTTCTACTTTTGACTTCTACTTCTACTTTTGGCTTCTGCTTATTTTTTAAGTCCATCCAAACGGTCATAAGCCAAAAAGGATAAATAAAGACAACAGCCACGAAATCACGGATTTATCAAGATGTTCAAATATAGTTTTGGTTTTAAAAATTTTAACAAAAAATGTATCATGTTTTTTAAATATTAAAAGATTTTAACAAAATTGTAAATATTTTAACACATCAAACACAAATATAAACAAAAATAAGGCGAAGCAAAATGATTTATAGTTTATTTTATATAAAAAAAAAACACATCTAATATAAATTTGATTCAAAACCAAAACCTTTCGATTTGACAGAGATAGATATATATGTATAGGTAGGCTCCTCAGTTGCAAACGGGGTCTGTGAAACTTGCACTGCAAATGGGAACGGAATTCGAACTCGATATCTAGTCTAAGTTCTGATACTATATTGGGTGTAGAGTGAACGTCTCACCTAAAAATTTGAACTCTTAAAAAAATGCACTAATTAATCATATATCCGCAAACGAAAGTCTCCATCGGGTATAAGATTGAAACCCTAAATCCCCAAATATACAAAAACCCAAACACAATCAGAGAGAAGCACCAAACAAGAGGCAGTAGCCAATTAATTCTTGCAGAGCGGTTCCCGACAGATATGCAGAGTCCGCACGTCATCGATGCGCAACAGAAGGCCAAACACGACATCATTTCGACGATGAGGATCGAGATAACTCCGGTAAGAGAACTGAACGGCGGCGACAAGCGAGGTATATATATATATATACAGATATAACTAAAAGCCGATCCTTACTGAACCGATTAATTTTATCTTGACATAACTACTCTAGGCTGTCTTCATTCAAACTATGTATACGTAAATTATAAATGTCAAATTTATTATCATTAAATTCTATCTATTATTTTATTTAAATATTGTTTTTTTAATAAAATTTTCTTATTCAAAGGGATGAATTGTTTTTTGTTTTTATTTAATATGTAATTAATTTACATTTTTTTAGATTTATAATTTAAATATCATATTATATAATAATTCATGTATAGCACGAGTTACATGCTATTTTATATATATATATACATACACACGAGAGATATGATACGATGATATAGATATATATGATATACGATTCCCTAATAAAAATAAATATTTTTTTTAAAAAAAATCGAATCGTATCAAATTATTATCTAAACAAAAAAATCAAAATAAAAAATAAAAATCCCAAATCAAACATATAATAATAACTGTTTTTAGTTATATCTTTTATGTTTGTTTAGATTTAATTTTATATCCAAATTTTCGTTACACTATATATATAATTCCATTGGTTGGGCTATTACCTAAGATAATACTATTTGGGTGATCTTAAACCCGCTGTTACCTAACATAATACTATTTTGGTTGATCTTAAACCCGCTGTTACCTAAGATAATACTATTTTGGGTGATCTTAAACCCTTCCAATTTCGGTCGAATTGTCGAAGATGAATATTGTAGATGAGAAACGTGCATTAGTTTCAGCTGATGTCGAAAGGCTCATCCTCACCCGGCTTCCTGTCAAATCCCTCCTCCGATTCAAATCCGTTTCGAAGTCATGGAACCGCACCATCTCCGACAAAGACTTCGCCATGGAACATCTCTGTCAATCCAAGAAGTCACCTCGAAACATGTTTCTTATGGAGTCCGTTGAGTACGGAACAAACTTCCTGTCTAGTTTGGAAAGCAATGAATTAAAACCATTGTTGGACCTCAAATGTTCAGCGAATGCAATATACAATTTCGACAGACAGCAATGTTGCGATGGCCTTATACTCAGTGTTTCAGGAGATACTTGCGGACGGGTTTTCATCATCCTTTGGAATCCATCGGCTAGAACGTATACAAATTTGGGGTTTCCTGTAATGAATTCCAAATTCCATTATTTCACATGTGGCATTGGCTTCGATTCATTATCGAAGGATTATAAAATAGTAGTCGCTGATTCCCAAGGGGAACAATATGCAACGTTTAACAACAAAAGCGGGTGTTGGAACGAGTCCAAAAGGATGGAGATAAAAATCGAACGTGACTTCAAAAATTTCCTTTTGGATAGTCATATCTGTTTGAGGAAACATGTTACGGAACAAAGAGAAACCGAAAGTTTTGATATTGCAATAACTTTCTTCGACCCGAGGGAGGACAAGTTCTATAAATTTCTTTATAATTCAGAGCAGGAATTGGGAACCGGAATTATTCCACATCAGTACACAAATTGCTACTTTGATTGTCCACCTGGCCTGTTTTGCATGCTTCTTGGCGACATGAATTCCGGAAAATGTCGTCTTGTGTGGAAGAATTCCGCCGGCGAGTCGATGGATTTGGATGACGTCCCGGTTATGTGGAGGGAGCAGCACCTGCCCAGCATGGCGCAGGTTCCTCCCGATATGATGTTCCTTTCCGACGATGGAAGAGAGCTTATATTCACTTTTTATATCGGCGACCGCGATGATAAAAGACGCGTGACAGTGTATAATTTGATTGAAAGGAAAGGTAGAAAGATTCTAAGGCCGAATTGTTCGTTAGATGAACGGCCTTTGTTCAGGTGCATAGATAATCTTTTCTTTAGTAATATCTAAGCATTGAAATTGAAATAATGATGTAAGGTTTTTGTCATTCAGTTTTTGTTTTTATAAATACGAGTATGATTTTTAATTTTTCTTTACAATTAATAGAACTGAAAGTGCATTGCTAGGGCTGTTTATTCGATCTTTTCTTCAATATAATTTTTATTGAACATCAAATAAATTAATGATGTTCATATTTCTAATATATACATAAAGTTACAAGTAAAAAACTTCAATTTATAAAGAGCTGACGCTGAGGTTCTGGTTCTGGTTCTGGTGCCCATTATAATACTCACAACACAGCCATGTCAACCCATTCGTCGACTTCGATCTCCTCAAGAACTAAAGAAACAAATATTAGAAACCATCTTCAACACTCGATCCTCAGCTCCAAACTTCTTCAACAATGGCGGCCGAGGCTATGCGAACGTGATGAAATGGTCCTCTTGTTTCTCAACAAGGTGAGCAGAATCGGAGTGACTCTGCCGGACACCATCAATCTAGACGTTCCGACACTCGACCTTTACGGCGGCCAATCGCTGTCGGATCGAGCTCTTCCACCGCCATCCCTACAATCAAGACATTTACTTTTTAACGAAGCTACAGCTGTACGGCGACCCTCCTCTCCGCCGCCGCGCCGGGAGCTGGCGGAGGAGGGGCTGCAGAATCAATGTGTACGCCTCCGGCCAAGGCATTATAGGGTTTCGAGAGAGTTACGTGGTCGAGGGAGAAGGCAAAATACGTTTTGAGAGAGTAGGAAATGGCTGAGAAGTTTAAGGTTTGTGTCCGAGATGATCGGAGAGACTATGTGTTGTGTGTAGTGAACAAGATTTGGGAGATAGCTTTTAGTGTTGATTCTTGATTGTAGTTTAGGCTTTTGATTCTTGTTTTTGTTTGCACTTTATAGCTTAGAGGTAATTCTTGATTGTAGTTTGGGCATTTGATTCTTGTTTTTCTTTCTACTTGTTGTTCTTGATCGATGCATCACAAAACTTTGTGGATATGCAAAATTTGTCTTAGATTTCACTAGTGTATATATACAACACAAAAATATTTAAAACAATTACCATATATATATATATTTTTTCAAACTCTAGTTTGTCCTTGGCCATTTTACCTTACCATATATATATTTTTTCAAAAGCCTATTAGTTTTACCTTGGCCATTTTACTTTACCTATAGGCCAGGCATTATCGGTTATTTATAAATATCTAGATATTTAAATTGAATCGAACAAATATAATCGTAAATTGTATTCAAACTAAAAATATTTGTCAAATAACTTGATCGAATCAAATCTAAAAATAAATACATAAAAAAAATAACTAAAATTCCATGTAACTAGAAATAGTTACACTTCTTGTTCTTGATGTGTGTCACACATGGTTCGACAAACTAGAGGGTTTACCCAGAGCGTCGATGTCGGGCGGTGGGGGTTGAGTATTTTGGATATTATAATCCTGTTGAATTCGATATTTTAAATTATGATAACTCGAAATCAAATTTAAATAAACGAAGAGAAGATCATCAACAGAACTCAAAAGCCATAAACCTTTTCAAGACAAATGCAACCTTACAACAATCATCATCATCATCATCGTCATCGTCGTCGCAATCTAAAACCTATACATCCTAAGAAGCATTCGCTCTCTGAATCTGATCCAAATATGAATCAATAACCGCGACGCTGCTCTCCTTCGTCGCAAGCGGCCAAGAAAGCACCTTAACCACAACGCAGAACGCAGAACCTGCAAAGTTCTCATTTCTAGAAAAATTCAAGAACTTGTCGCCAAGGCTATAAACTCTCAAAGTAAACAGAAGATAACTCGGATCACTTTTCTGATACAGTATGTAGAAAAGATTCCTCTTCCCTATTTCTTCCCCATGCTCATCGTACACAGTCTGCTCCAATCCGTCGCTCTTCCAATACCCCACGCCGCATCTGCGAAAACGTCGATTGATCCAATCCTTCTCATGGGTTAGAAAGTAAATTTCTTTGTTATAAGGATGGTCGATGAACATGCTCAATGGAGTGTTATCGCAGGAGACATCTAAAACAGGGATTACGAAATCCAACTTCGCCGGCAATATGACTCTGTTCACGCCCTGCAAGTTAAGAAGATAGAGTATGATTTCTTGATCGGATAGTCGGAAACTCATGCGGTATGCGGCGTCGTTGACGACGGCGACGCTATTGGAAGAGCTTGTTCTAGGGATAACTCGCGATCGGATGATTTGATCAAGGAAGTTGTCGATGTCGAATCGGCGATTTGGTTTTAATGGAATTTTGTCGGCGTCTCCGATGACGATGTCCTCTTTGGTGATAATGTAGAATGCGTAATGTCGATATTCGTAGTCGACGTGGGCGAGGAGTTTGCGGGCGAGAGTGTATTCTCTGAGGGAGTACTCGAGGCTGCCGGCAAATGGGACCGTGGAGGCGTAGAAGAAGCATCTTAAGACGCCGATTAGACGGCCTTTGTTGTCGTCGACCGGGGTGGGATAGACGTGGAGTTCCCAGCTGCCGAAGCCGCATTTGCGGCTGGAGTTGTCGCGGAATTTCCTTGTGGTGGATAAGCAGTAAAGATGGGAGGCGCCGGCGCCGGCGTAGAGGCGGAAGAGCTCCGGCGGGCATTGGTCGCCGTATATGTCGAGAATTGGGAATTGGCGTTTGAGGACGGCGGGGAGGGTAACTTTGGTTTGGCGGACGTGGTTGAAGAGACAGAGAATGATTTCTTGCTCGGATAATGGAGGTCTTGCCATGGCTGCCGCCTGAAAGCGGATGATGGGAATCGGAGTGAGCGGAGAAAAAGGAAGTTGAGTCGTGATTCTAGGGTTCAGTTCTTGGAAGAAGACTCTGGAAGATGAACATATGGTTTTACGGAGGATGAGAAGACATTTTAAATTCTTGAGTAACGGTAGTGTATTTGTCCACCGTCAATACATTTTTTTAAAAAATAAAAAATAAATAATTTAAATTAAATAAAGAATAAAAATAGAATCATTGTTTTGTTAAAAAATTTATTTTTCGTACCGATAAAAATTGGTCATTTTTGTTTTTTTTACATATTTTAAAATTAAAATTCCATGAATTCCAGTAAAACAATGTGATTTAATTTTTAAAAAAAATATATATTTTGTCACCTACTTTTTATCTAATTTATTTTTCTTTTTTTCCTAAAACATCACATTTAATTCTTACTAACGGTAAGGTTTTGTATCGGTTAGTTAATGTTCACAAACAAAATTCGTGCTCGTTACTTAAAGTATTTGAATGTGTTTGTAGCGTCGGAACTCAATTTTATTATTTGAAACCGTGCTCATATTCAGCTCAATTAAACTTGTTTTGATATGATTGATATTTTATTTCATTTTTAATTCATATATGTGTAATATTTTATTGCATTTATTTTGAAATTAATAATTTCAATTGGCTTCATAATGGGTACTAATGACCTTGTGGTAACCCAAGCCTAATCTTTTTATTTCAGATCAGATTTCATTAATACTATAGGTAAATATAGAAATAATTTTTGTATTAAATCATGCATCCAATCAAAGAACTAATTTAAATATTTTGCAGCATTATCAACAAAACCTTTTGAACCGGAATAGAACAAAGAACATTCAAAAAAATTAGATTAAACCCATTAGAGTTGCAGTATAACATATAAAAGCACAATACAAGAATTACCTCCATGTGATTCTGTAATCTGAACTAAGATCTAAACAACTTATGGAGCTTTCCGCTTGCGCTCGGCTGTCGTCGACGAGTCCTGCACTTGAGCCTCGCCAAAAACCGATCTGCATTTCAAAATTTATCCACAGAAGGAGGTTAATATAGATTCGAATTGCGTGGGGTCATCGAGCATTTTGACATTACTAGACTTGTTCAGATGAGAGCAAGCAAGAAGAATAAACATGTACATAAAGGTTTATATTTATTCGAAAACAAGTTTTATCACATATGTTTTTTGTGTTCAAGTTTGACTCGAACAGGAAGATGTGTCCACAATCGACATTTTCAGGTGGCATAAAGGATTTTTGACAAGATCGGAACTTCAACAAGCCAATTGTATGTTTTTCTTCACTCTGATTAATTTGGATGCTATTATGTACAAGTTCAGCAGAATCTTAAATATGATGGGAATAAGAACGTATAAAATGAGTAAATCTAAGAAAAGCATAACAATTGAATTGATGATGATTACGAAAGAGTAGCTTCATCCATACTCACCCACAGGTAGTGCATTTCTTCTGATGCTTGCAGAAAATGGATAAACAAACAGAACATATGTAGCCCATATCGATTGTGTTCTTGTGGCAAAAGCACCTGAAGATTCATATTGCATGAAAATGATCAGATAATTGAAGCTTAAATAACCATTTGATTGGAGTCTGTGAAGAAAACTATTGTGCAAAATTTAGACGGAGTGAAAATGAAAGCATTGCAATATCATCTAGCATAGTTGCTTTTTCATGAAATTTTTAAGGAAATTGCAAAACCAATTCCATAGACTGTAATTTTGAATTATCTAACTTACGAGGCCCGAAAGTCTACTCCAGCAGGTCGAGGAAGTTGTAAAAAGCCACGAGAATATAAATCAGTAGCAAAAACTGTCTGCAGATGAGAACAATGTATTGTCCATTAGAGCCAATCATAGTTAAAGGGCATGAGGACTAACATCCATTCCACTTGGCTCTAAAAATATGAAATATTATATGCCACGGGTTTCTTCTCAAATTACATCCAGTCATTACTCATTACTTCATCCATCAAAACCAACTTAATAGAAAGTAAATAATAATGCAAAATGTCACTAGCCATATATCGTATAAATAGACTAATCAAGCTTCTCACATTCATGCATAACGTATGATCTCAGAGCAATAAGTTAATTTGTCTAAGTCTAGATTTTGAAGACAAATCAAGTGAAACAAAGGAAGAAGCCATTCGGTAATATGTCTTAAAAACTAGGACAAAACTCTCTAAGAGTTAAAGAGCTTTAGATCGACATACTTCAAATTTCTGCCCACTTCAAAATGTTTCAGCATAAAGCATTAACAGAAATAGTACTCCAATAGATCTACAGCTATTAAGTGGAGTGCCTCAAATGTTCAATCAATAACTATTTCAAGAAAATGTTTTCATATTTCCAGCATGTCAAGAAAAAACTATTAAGCATGTCAAGAAAAAGCTGCAGGTAATTAATCACCTACAATTGCTGGATATCTGTGTGCATGAACTTCATCTCTACATAAATCTAGAAATGCATATTACAGAACACTGAAATTATTAATTCGTTAAATTTTACACAGATAAGATCACCCTACCAAAAGATACTGAAATAGTCCATCCAACAATTGAGGCTTCAGATAAACACCCCCAGTTATATACGAAGCCTGTTGCAAATTACAGAGTTATTAACAGTTTAAAAATCAAAAGATAGCTCCACAGCAAGGCACCTCATAGACAAGCTACCTGCTGCAGGAAGGCAGAGTGCTGAGCTCCTATTACACATGAATCTATAGGAACCTGAAATAGGAAGAAAACCGAGTGGCATCAGTAGAAGCTTATGATTCTTTTACAATAACTTCATTCGGGTAGGATGATATACACAAAACTGAGTGAAAATTCATACATATTCATCTTACGCCCTATGGCTAACAAATATAAATGGCAATTTTGTTAGGAACCCATTAAACTTACTGGGGGATTCCTTTGGATTTCTACAGGAATACAAACCACCATAACGGAAAAAGATGAACTGTGTATCTAAAGCAGACCAAGACAAAGTACTAATTTATAACATGTCTTGCCAGAAAATTAATGAATCTAAGAACTCAAGCTCTTAATGCAACTACCATGCAATAGAATAAAAATTAAATAAACGGATAAAGATACATACACAACTGATTGATGCATGTGAGAAAGAAAAGTACATATTAATACAGATGTATTAAAATTACGTTTCATAATGTAAACTAAAATGGATAATCAATGTCAACCTCACCATTGAGCGCTGAGCAGAAAAAATCGAATTCATGACGGCAACATATCTGCACAAGACAAATCATCCACCGTGTAAGCACAGTTGAGTAAAAGGTGAAGATACATTCTTCCAATCAAAGGAGTTACATACTGTCCAGGTCCATCTGGAGATCCATGTAAGCACAATATCTGCCGTTGTGAGGAATTATTATATCAGATAGAAATAAAAAGAAAAGGTAAAAAATGCAAAATAGAAGAAGGATATGTACACTAATTACTCGTCTTTCTCTAAAATACTAATTGCATTTCTCAAGAAACTAAACAAACAGAAGAAAATATATCTTGTTAGAAACAAAACTCACCCTAGGCTGTGGGTGAAGTGGCCCTGACCGAAACACTCTCTGAATATCTACCGAATCCAAAAGTCACGGGAAACAAAACTTACTAATTCAATACTTCAAATTGCGCCAACATCAATAGTTACAAAATTAAATTACATACGAACTTAAATTAATCAGCACACACAAGATGAGGATACAACACAGAGCCATTGAGAGGGAGCCAGAAAGCAGAGAGAACCCAGGACCATCAACCGAATCCTCCCGACATTGAGCCTCATCCTTCTCTACAAACTCCTCCAATTTCTGCAGCAAATTCTCGGCACGTTGATCTTGTATCTGTGAGGTTGAGGAATCAAATATGTAGCCACAGGAATTGTAACCTGTTGCTATTACAACCACTTGGTTTAGTTGGTTCAGCAAAAGAATTGAATTCAGAAAGGCCAGCACCTGCAATCGAAAAATACACTTAAGTTTTAGCTCCAAGGAATCCAAATTAACGAATCAAAGTACAGAAACCAGAAATTTTCCATATAAAGAAGAACAAAAGAACTTTACATGGGACAGAAACCTCGAGAATGGAAGAGCGGATTTCATAGAGTTCCAAAAGAACGGGTTGGTGTCGATTGACACCATTAACAGACTCACATCATCTGGAAAATTCAAACAAAATAAACAAACACATGGAAGATGAAGTATCAAATAAGGATTATACACAATCTTGCAAAGGGTCATTCCACTCAAACATAAAATGGCGGACGAACCTGTATGAAGCTTAGATGAGACAGGAGTCATCGTGCTTAACTATCTGAATTCAAATTAAAAACCAAAATAAAGTTAAAATCCAAACAAAAACTCAATCACACCAGAGTTCTCCAATCAACACTGACGCCAGGCAAAGTTACTTCAGTACAAAAACATATTATGCAAATAAAACACAGTTCTTTCATCAGCTCCCATTGAATCAACACCTATTAGCTAATTAAACCATGACCGACACAAAATCTAGCGATCCCCGCATATGAAAAAACTCTTCAATTCTTCAAGAAACAAACCAATAAATTAGGGCGAAATGCAGACGCCGTAATAGCTTGGAAGCTCTATCCCGTTCCGACGCAGGTAAACCCTCTCCGCCGCGACGCGCCGTAGACCCAGGCCGACAGACCTACCGGTGTATGCAGATGCAAAACCCCATGGCCTAAAACCAACTACAAGGTCAAATAAGTAATTTCACAATCACGTTGGAGTAAATGGGCCGGACCTTTACTGGACTACACCTATTGGGCCTATAAACAATTATTTTATAATAATATCCATATCATATTATAAAAATAATAAATATAAATACTACAAGAAAATGTATATAGTGTCATTTTTATTGCCAGTGTATTGCCCGCATTGCAAGGCAAGGAATGTGACAAATCACTATCTACACTTTTTTTTTCTTTTATCTCTAATTTAGGAAAATATTTCAAAAATTATAAATCCCTCATCCTCAATTACTTTTGAACCCATCCAATTAATCCCAAAATTCAATAATCATGTCCTAATCATTTCTTCCTTTAGCTAAAATAATAATAACAACTAATTGGAGATTTTGTGACCAAAATACAATAAACTAATAAAAATATATATACATTTAATATAAATTGATGATCTTGGCCACTTATTATTACTATTATTATTATCCAATAATTTCCAACACAAACGGCGGAACAATTTGTCAAAATTGCCCATTAAAGTGACGCAAAGGGCAGATTAGTAAATTCATTCAAACCCACCAACCAGACAGCGCCACGTGTTATGATCGAGAATTTAGAGCATTCATTGAAGACAGCAAAGCGGCGGTTGCAGTGTTGGGAGAGAAGTCGCCTTCCACTCTCTTCCTCTCTGACATTCCACCTCTGCACCATTTCCTCACTGCTGGGGTGAAATTACGAATCTGCCCTCGCACAGTTCTACCAAACCCACCGCCTATAATTCCCCAGTTTCCTCCGCCAGGAATTCTACGGAGTTCCGTTGTCGACAACTCACCCGAAAAGACAAATTTGCTGTTCTAACTTCGCCTGCTGTCTGTCTCTTGCAGCTCTCTGTCGTCTTCCATCACATGGGCGTTTAATTTCGCCGAAGGTATGATATGAATGATCTCTGCGGTATTTAATTTTGGCGTTTTTATTTTTTGTGTTCTTTAAGCTCAGTTCGTGTGTGCTGTTATAGAGGTTAATATAATATGAGGTCAACTGTTGATTTTATACTTATTCAGAAAAATGAAAAAAATAAAATAAATTGGTGCTTGTTCTGAGAATTGGGAATGAAGTTTGGATCGTACGGTTGAGATCTGCTATCTGCTGCTGTTTGTGTGACTGAATTTTCGGACGATTGATGCACTCAATTTCTTGAGGAAATCGGATTGGATTGCCTTTTTTCTGGATAAATTTGATTGGGATACTATCGTTTTGCAGGAGGTGAATTTATTGCAGATTAATTTTTGTAATTTGTAAATACAATGCCTGGAATTGTCAGTGACGAGATTCAGGAAGATGGGGTAGTGAATGAGGTGACTGTGGGTGGGAATTTGGCTCCTGGTAAGGTGAATTCGCCGCCGGAGCAATTCGCCGCCGGCAGGGAGGGGGCGGCGGTGGTGGTGGTGGAGGAGGCTTCCATTGAGCAGCTCTATGAGAATGTGTGTGAGATGCAGAGCTCCGATCACTCCCCGTCGAGGCGGAGCTATGGATCCGATGGCGAAGAGTCTCGGATTGATTCGGAGCTCCGGCATCTCGTCGGAGGAGAGATGAGGGAAGTCGAGATTATCGAGGAGGATGAAGAGGTCACAAAGCCGGAGAACAATTCTGGCGGCGATCACAGCGACGTCGGTTCAAAGAAAGAGAAAATTGCGAAAAAAGTTGAGCCGGAGGCGTCTTCGAAGCAGAATTCGAAGAGTAAAGCGAAAACAACGGTGAAAAATGGTAGAAGAAGTTTGGCGAAGAAGTATAGGAATGGAACGGCGGGTCCGGCAGAAGCCGGGTCGGATAGCCCCGACCTCGGCCCGTTTCTGCTGAAGCAAGCTCGGGATTTAATGTCGTCGGGGGATAACCCACGGCGCGCTCTTGATTTGTCGATCCGTGCGGCGAAGTCATTCGAGAATTGTTCCGACGGGAAGCCGAGTTTGGACGTCGTCATGTGTTTGCATGTCACCGCCGCGATCTACTGCAGCTTGGGGCAGTACGACGACGCGATTCCCGTATTGGAGCATTCACTCGAAATTCCGGCGATCGACGAAGGACAAGATCACGCGCTCGCCAAGTTCGCGGGTTACATGCAGCTCGGGGATACTTACGCCATGTTGGGCCAGCTCGGGAATTCAATAACGTGCTACACGACGGGATTAGAAATTCAAAGAAAAGTTCTTGGCGACGACGATTTAAGAGTCGGCGAGACTTGCCGGTACTTAGCCGAAGCACACATTCAAGCGATGCAGTTTGACGAAGCCCGGAAGCTTTGTCAGATGGCTCTCGACATACATAAAGAGACGGGTTCTCCCGCATCGCTCGAAGAAGTCGCGGATAGACGGCTTATGGGGATGATTTGCGAGTCGAAGGGGGACCACGAAACCGCCCTCGAGCATCTTGTCTTAGCCAGCATGGCGATGGTGGCAAACGGGCAGGAATCGGAAGTCGCGTCCGTCGACTGCAGCATCGGGGATACGTATCTGTCTCTTAACCGTTACGACGAGGCGATTTTCGCGTACCAGAAAGCGCTGTCGTCGCTCAAGTCTACGAAAGGCGAGAACCACCCCGCCGTCGCTTCGGTGTTCGTCCGTCTGGCGGATTTGTACAACAGGACCGGGAAGTTCCGGGATTCGAGATCCTACTGCGAGAACGCCCTCCGAATTTACGAGAAGCCCATACCGGGAATCGCTCCCGAGGAGATCGCGAGCGGCCTCACTGACATATCTGCGATTTACGAGTCAATGGACGAGCTCGAGCAGGCGTTGAAGCTTCTGCAAAAGGCTTTGAAGATATACAGCGACGCGCCCGGTCAGCAAAACACGATCGCTGGCATCGAAGCTCAGATGGGAGTTATGTACTACATGTTGGGGAACTATTCCGAGTCGTACGCGTCGTTTAAAAGCGCGACGACGAAGCTCCGCGCGAGCGGGGAGAAGAAATCTGCTTTCTTCGGAATTGCGCTCAACCAAATGGGTCTTGCTTGCGTGCAGCGGTATGCGATCAATGAGGCCGTGCAATTGTTCGAAGAAGCGAGGAGCATTTTGGAGCAAGAATACGGACCGTATCACCCCGATACACTTGGAGTTTATAGTAACCTCGCCGGAACCTACGATGCCGTTGGACGGTAAAATTGTTTCAAAAATGCATCAATAATTACATATTATATAATCTTTCGAGAGGTCAAAAATAACTTTTTTATGCGACAAAGAGTGATTCTTGACATGAAAATCGACGTAGGTTGGACGATGCAATTGAGATTTTGGAATTTGTTGTGGGAATGAGGGAGGAGAAACTCGGGACGGCGAATCCGGACGTGGATGACGAGAAGAAGAGGCTGGCGGAGCTTTTAAAAGAGGCGGGGCGGGTTAGGAGCAGGAAAAATCGATCGTTGGAGACGCTGCTGGAGTCGAACCAGAGGGCGGCGACGGGCGGCGGAGACGGCGGGATCAAAGTGTGAGGGGAGGAGGCGACGGGTGTACAGTACTGAGAGAAAGATGAATATTATTTATACAGGATTGATGATTATGAAAGGTATTAAGATTATTATTATTATTAAACACACGTGCTATGCAAGAAAGAGGTTTGGATTTGTTTGTGTATACTTATTTTGGTGATGATGAATGTTATTGTTGTTGTTGTTTGGTAATTGGTATTGTATGGTGATTAGGGAGAATGTTTTGTTGATTTGTTTGTCACACGCTATGTATGGTAATTGGTAATGGTGAATAAATTATTGCTGTTATTATTGGGTAATTTTGTGTTAGAGGAGCAACTATTGCTAATAGTCCTGATTTGTTTTAGTTAATGAATGTATTATGCCCGCCCCAAGGTAAATCATGTTAGACAAATTATATGGGGGCAGGAAACACTTGGAAACGTCGGGATTTGAATCATAATCTCACGGTCACCGGCTCATCTTTAAGGAACGACAAGGCAAGATTTTGATTGAATGAAAATAGATATTGTGTTGTTTGTTGAAAAATGAATATAAGAAAGGGTTGGTGAAGAGTAGCTTTTTCATGGTTGTGTTCCTGTCATTATCTGACTTAAATGGATGCTACTTCACTCACTCTGTGTCCCTTTGTCAGTAGATGTGTTTCTTTTCATTTGTATGGTAAGAATGTACTTTTTAAGTATATATTAAATATTCTGCAATATTTTTAAATTAAAAAATAATTAATTATATTTAATCTATATACTTATATTTTATCTCATCACATCATCCTAATAAAAATATATAATATACACTTCTCTCTCTATTACATAGTCTAATTATTCAATTATCATATTTAATACTTCTCATCTAAAATCTCGTATCCAATTTAAATGTAACACTTTGTTTGAGATGGAAGGAGTATTTTATTTTACTACTGCATCCTTCTTATAAAAAAGATATCATTTGTCTTTTATGTATTGTATTTAACTAAATATCAATATTTGTATTATAAAAGACTAATACATATATTTTTGTCATTTTTTTTATCAATACACAAAAAGCTCTTGATAATTCAGTATATATTATTTAATAACTCAAGATGTGTCATATTATATGTAAATATATGACATGTATTGTTCCGCAACATTTCTATTCATTTATAAAAGTATCATTGAGGATTTATATATTTTTTGCATTCATTCTATTTTAATTTTATAATTACATTCCTAACTTTTTAAATTTTTAATTCTACCCTTATAAAAAAACAAAAAAAAAAACTACACAAATTATATTAAAATATTATGTTATGCCCAAACATTTTGAACAAGGATGTGAAGTATATATTATTTTGTAAGAAAAAATAAAATTATATTTGCTTTTTAAATTTTGTCATTCTCAACATATTTGTTTTAAATATAAGTCTATTATTTACTCTTACAAAATGTTTAAATAATAATAATATAACATATTTGTTTTGATTATATGCATAAACATATTTAAGAAAAGTGATAGAAATACATATTTGTATACCCTAATATTAAAATAAATATAAATAAGTATGTTTCTTTTACAATAAATATATGTTCGTATCTTATTTTAATATCAAACTCAAATACGGATGGCGACACACTTTATATACGATATTACCTTATATAGCATGTGAAAATATCAAAATCAACAAGCACAAAACTACTTGTCAAGCAAGTAACATTTTTATTTAAATCATTATAATATTATAGACAATAATAATAATAATAATAATAATAATAATAATAATAATAATAATTAATTTTAAAATATATATATAATATTATTATACAAATCAATTTAACCTCACCGTAAAGTCTTTCCTTCGGAAACATTTCCAAGCAGAATTAGGGCACGTGCTTCTGCCGGCCGTCGCCGTTGTTCATCGGCAGCGGCGCCGAATTGAATTCCCGGCCAGTCGACGCAAATTCCTTAACGTCTTTATCGTTCTCCGTCCTCACGCTATGGCTCTGGTTCAGGAACATGAAGGCTCCCCTGCTTCCATGGCGGTTATGAAATTTATGCAGAAGGTCTCTGAACTTCCATATCTTCGAATTAAATCCGTGGAAGCCGATCTTCTTCCACCGCGTCTCCTCCTCCACGGTCACCGATTCATTTCCAGAAGACGAGCTCGAAGACGACGTCGTTCTCTGCGTATGCATTTCCTCAACAAAAAGCATCCTCAACGGACTCGGAACATCGGTAAAATCAGAATTCCTAATTTCGTTCTCATTTACCTTCTCGTCGCAGAACTCCGCAATTTCGAGCGTCGCAACATCGCGATAAACCGGTAGGATCTTACCGTTGTGGAAGATCTCATCCGCCGGAATAGGAGAACAGAGCTTTAAATCTGGCGTCGAGAAGGAAAAATCCGAATCTCTTTCGCCGCCATCGCTGAGACGCGGAACTGCTCCTTGATTGGAATCGGAATTTTCGGCGACCCTGGCGGCAATTGCGGTGAGATTACCGTTGATTCGGGGGTTGAAGGAAGAGGAGAGCGAGATGTAGGGGCCAGACGCCTGCATTTCCATCTCTGTGAAACCACACCTACCTCTCGAGGAAACATGCGGCTCAACAATGGCGGAGTCAGGCGCAGGGCCTGAGTGGGTTTGTGTTTGTTGGAAGGAACGAAAAGCGTGACCATTGGCGTTGGAGAATTTATAGCCTGCAAATCGGCGGGTGTGCGAAATTACCACTTTATCCCTACCCGGAAAATCTTGACATTATTTATCGTATAAAGTAACATTTTCACCGGTTTTGTTCTATTCAATTTTGCAAAAAATATTACATTAAATATTTTTTTTACAAAAATATCAAATTCAAAAATTATTATTATTATTATTATTTTTGAACGTACCAATTTGCAAAAACTCCTATCTAAACAAATCCTACCAGTTTCATTATAATTAACTTGATTTGAATTGAACAAAAAGAGATGACAAAATAATTATATCTAAAGAGTATTATTTATATATTTATAATAATAATAATAATATTAATCGAGTAAATTAGTTTTGAATATATATCCTATATGTGATATTTATTTAAAATGATTTAGATTAATCCAATCGAATATATTTATAATATTATATTTTAAATTTTATATTAATAAAAATAGGCGAAGAGGTTTAAATTTTTAAGATAAATTTCGAATGACTTACAAATCCTCCAAATATTTTCAACTAATCAAAATTTTTGATTCGAATATGATTTACAATTTCAAATATTTATTTGATTGAATTTGAATACTAAATTCATCTATACTTGCAAATAACCAAAAAAGCAAAACAAAAGAAATACCATAGCTCGTGTGTAATAAAACTGCACATCGTAAAGCCAGCCAGCCAGCCAACCAACAAGGAGGAGGAAAACTATTACAAAGGCATACCATCCTTAAAATCGAACATAGCTCAACAATCCTCAATCTCATTTCATCTCATAGATCTTCCTTTCTCTATGTTGTTGTTACCGCTCCAACGGATATCGTCGAACTTCTAATCTACTGCAAGAATGCGACAAAATCTTTTAGTTAGATGGATCGTCGTCTTGTCTTGTAAGAATATCCGGTTGGGATAGATGATGCCTACCTTTCGCCGGTTGAATTTTATGATGGACATGAGAATATCATCCCCGGCAATTTTTCTCACTTTTTGTATCATCTCATACCGCGGTATCTTCTTCTTCTGCGAGCAAAACAAAACCCTCCAAAGATAAGTTTCCAATACATGAGAATCGCGATTGTTACTACGTTGAATTATAAAATTCAACATAATAATGTAAGGACAGACAACATATGATTTATAATTTACGAACACAATGCTTCCGTTAAATTTAGCACAAAAAATATATTCATACAACATATATTGTCCTCTCTCTTTACATTTATCTTCATTGTAATTAAAATTGAAAATATCATTATATATAAATTTTTTACAAATATCATTATATTAATATTACAAGTGATTAATAAAAATATTTCTGTCATTTTTCATTCATTTATACTATATCTTAATAGTAAATGTGACTCTTAGAGGCGAACTGACGAATATGCTTTGATACACACCTTGTAATCACCGTAATGCCGGGAAATAAGGCCAACGGCGTCGGCAGGTAAGAACTTGGCAAGGGCAGCGATCAGTGCGGGAAACGGCATCCAATGCGAATGCGGCGTTCTTGTTGTAGGCTGCGACATCCTCTCACAACCTGAAACCGAATCGAACACAAACAATTTAGTACAAGCAAAAAATCGACGAAATTCATTCCCTATGTAAAACAGCTACTTCGCTTACCCCTGCAAGAAGGGGTTGCACGGAAACTGACGACGAACTCGGGAAGTATATGCGTGTTCATACACGAATTCCAAACAACATATCTCCCCGGCGCCAGTAAATTATCCACCCCGGAATCGAATTCCTCGGAGCTCGGATTACACTGCCCCGAGCCGGGACTTATAACCTCTGCCTTCCCGAGGATCACGCGGCAAAGCAACAAATGGCGCAACCCGTCGTCATCATCAGCAGCCGACGATTGCACGCTGCAAACACAAATTCCCAATTTAATCAATTCATCATTTGCCTTAAACATCATAGAACACATCAACAATGGAAAATTCGATGAGCAGGGTACCTTAGGTTCGGATGATCCGCCGGGGATAGAGATACGCCTTGTGGCGAATTCGCCGGAAAGCAGAAGCCGTGGGAGAGGATTCCGGTGATCTCCTTCTTGCCGGCGCCGTACCAGGCGTACTTCACATTGGCATTTCCATAGCCACATTTCATTCCGACGGCTTTCGCATATATACAGAAGGATTGAAGCTTCGCCTGGCTCATGATCCCGGAATAGTCTCTCCGATGGATGGCCTCGACTTCGGCATTGGTAAATCCGTTCGATTTCAAATTCGACACCAATTTCTTACTAATAGTCGCGTAAATCATATCTTCGTTTCCGATTCGGATCAAATTGTTGTTGTTACTGCCGAACAGAGGCTCGTTTTCCAGCCCCGAAACAACACTTTCGCAATCGGAAGGGCAGGAATCTTCCCTGTAATCACTTGTCATGGAATTCGGGTTTGGTTGGGGATTCGAAGGTTGGAGGAGGTCTTCGAAGAGGGTGAGCTTTGTGCTCTTCTTTTGAATTAATCTTTCACAAGAATCAGCCATTGATTCCATTGAAATAAAGGAAGAAACAGGTACTTGGAAGAGAAGAAACTGATCACCAGGCGGTTATAAAAGCTAACTTGCACCGCAATCAAGGAATATCCTAATTGGGGAAGAAACTAGGGTTACGTAACCTAATCGAAAACCGCCGAAATTAGGCGAAACCGAAACCGAAAACAAAATCAAAATCAATGCAATTCAACCAAAAATGAACAATCCAAAGCCATAGCCATAGCTAATCTCAGAAACTCCTAACACTATGGGCACGAAACACAGCTCTCAATTGAAAGAAACAACAGAAAATTAGCAAAAGTTCATCCTGAAAGCAACAACTTACAATCGAAACGCAGGTACCAAAGATCCTAAGCGATGATTTGATTGATATTTGGGAGGAAACTGTTCCTGCTTGGTCCAACTATATATATGTGCATCAATGGCGTTGGAGAAATAAATAAGGGGGGAGGGGGGAAGGAAACCCCGCCGCCTCTGGTTTTCGTGGGGAGTGCGCGTCGGCATCTGGATTTGATCTACGCCGACAGTTGTTTTGGTGTTGTGCATAGGTCGGTTGCGTCTTGAAACGTTGGGCTGGCTGTTCTTGATGCGATGCAGTGTACGGCACTCCCCCCTTGCCCCTTGGTTGGATTACCTCCTCTTTACACAAGTTGCTCATTTTAAATTACCCTTTTGCCCTTTGACTTTGAATCCGGATACTTTCTGCTGTTGATGGTTTCCTCATCCCGTTGTGGTCAACTTGGTGGGTTTTTTTTTTTTTTTTTTTTTTTTTTTTTCTTTTTATGTATTTATTTATATTTATTATAGATATTAAAAAATATTGCCCTCCTCTAGAATTATAGATATTTTTATTTTGGAACGTTCGTTACAAATTAATTATTTTATCAAACACCTACTTTTTTTTTTCATAAATATTCTTACTTTATATCATAACATTACTTTTGTACAAATAAATGAAGGTAAAAATATCATTACACTGCTTTTACCTACTTAATTTAATATCTTAATTTTAATTTATAATTATTTTTATTAAATCATAATTATTTTCAATAACGTACTTTTTAATTACTTACTAATTATTTAATACTTAAATATATAAGCAAAAGTGGACAATTCAAACAGAAGGGAATGAGTAATTAACATCTATTTTATCATTTTACTTTTTACAATATTCGATCGTTTTAAATTCATTATCTTATTATCATATATACTTATATAATTATAAAATTACTTTTATTTGATACACTTCGAAAAAAATCGAAGAAAGAATGATATGTACAATTTGAATTTGAGTAGATTTGGAATTGAAATATTCAATTTGATACCCATTGTCATAAAAATATATTGATTTGATCTTAAAAAGTGATGTGGTCACATTTTGAAAACTAGTGTATTTGTTCATTTTGTATTTTTAAATAAATATATCTTCTATACTACTCCCTCCGTCCCACATACCATACCATATCCACCTTGTCATTTATGTCCGTCTCACATACTATGTCATTTTTTTTATCTTAATCTTAATTTATAATTATTTATATTATAGAATAACTATTTTCACTAATACATTCTTAATTATCTTATAATTATATCCTTTCTAAAATACTGTGTCTACAATGTAGCAGACACGGTACGTGAAACCGAACTAGTATTAAATATGAAATACTTGTTTTTGATAAAATAATAAATACATAAGTGAACAAAAACCAAAACAAACATAGTACTAATAACTAATTAATACTATTGATATCAAGAAAGAATATTTGTTTTATTATATTTGGACGATCACATGGGCTGTGTGTTTGGCGGTGGATTTAGATGGGATCCTACTTTTCACTATTTTTTTTTAAAAAAATTTTATATTCCATATGTTTCATAAATATAGTTTTAATTAGATTGGACACGGGTTTTGAAAAATATTGATACTATATTAGTAGTTAGTAAAAAGTATGGATAAAAGATTTTTTTGTCCTTGTGAGTGTATTAGTATAAAAAGTAGTGGCAATTGTGTAATAAAAATGAAAAAGTAACGATAGTTTTATAGTGATATGATTATTTATAGATATAAGACTATTGTTTTGGGATGAATAAAAATGGTAAAAAAAACTATTATATTGGAAAAGAACGGAGGGAGTATTATATTAAATATTTAATTAAATTTAAATTTTATTTATTTCATTCCCTAATTCAGTCCCCACACTCCAATAACTCATATTAAAGCCCGGCCCGACCCGAACATTAGATATGGTAAAAAGGGTCCAGTGTGTTGGGTCATACGATGCCTAATTAGGTACAATGTACTCAAATAATTTTGTCATTTTTATTTATTGGTTTCTTATCAGTAATTCTTATAAATGTTTTTTTTCTTTTTCTTTTTTTTTCACATCTTTTATTTATTTTTATTTTTTTATTTTTTTTATAATATGTATAAAGATAATAAAATAATTATTCTAGATGCATGTGGCAGCTTCGAGATATGTTTAAGAAGGAATTTAGATCAATATAGTATATATTTAACAAGCTACTATTAATTTTATTATTATTTCCTTCATTTGGAAAATTTATATAGCATTTAATACTCCCTTCGTTTCACATAATTTGTCCCTATTTTTTATTTATTAATTATACTTTACCTAAATTCTCGTGTCTACAGTAATACACTCATATTACATGAAACGAAGGGAGTAATATTTTAACGTTAAAATAAATATTTAACAAAAAAAATAAGAATATTATAAAAATTATTGTTAAATTTAGCATATAGCAAAAAATAAAAAATAAAAAAAATAAATATGAAGTGCCATTATTTTTTTTAATTTAAATAAATTAAATAAAACAAACAGCGGGCATTGGAAGGCGAAGGAAGGATAGAGATTTGATTAAAAAAAAAAAAAAAGTGTCCAACACAAGTCGTAACATTCACGTAAGTTGCCATTTGTGGATAATAGACTAATTAATTAATTATTATAAGTGTGGAGACAGTGTAGGATGGTTTGGCAAACACGCGTATGGTCACTTATTATTATTATTATTATTATAGTATTAATTAATTCTCCTTAATTATTGGAATGACAAATGCCATTTTCAAAACAAGATACATGACCATTGCTTGCTTGCTTGCCTGCTCTTACATAAAAGCATTCCAACCGTTTGTTTGAAAAAAATAATCAATTTTAATTTTAATAATTTTTAAATTTAATATTTTATTTAAAAATAATGTATATTTTTATTGAAAATGTATCATAGAATAAATAGTATTGAACAAACCTCTACATTAGATAACATTTATGTAGATAAAAACCTTTTAAACCATGTACAATCCAAGAGATTTTTCTCTAATTTTGCAAGGTGGGGAGAAAAAAACTGCTCTAACCCATCCTGCAATTTTGCATAATTCTGCTGGTGCATTTTTAAATTTATTTTATTCTTTTTTTATTTTGTTTTAAGCTTCTATTTTATATTTTTATTTTGTTTTATTTTTGTTACTTTTAATTTTATTATTTTTTATTATAATTTTGTAATTAATATTTATAGTAAATTATTTATTTATATTTATTAAAATTTATAATTAATTGATTATGGTAAAATAATTATAAATTATTTATATTAAATTTAAAATATTATAATATTTATAAATAAAAAATAACATTAATTATAAAAAATATCATAACATTAAATAAAAGATAAACTTAAGAATACAATATAAAATTATGCGTACAATATTATGTAAAATAATATTAAATTTTATAATATATATATAAAAATAATAAAATATTAAATTTTATTTAGAGAATACTTTTTAACCTTGCAAAAAGATATGGTTGGAGAAGAGACTCTAAAAAATAACATAAGGTATGGTTGGAGGAGAGACTCTCTAAAAATAGAGGGTATGGTTGGAGATGAGTTACCATAGCAAAACTCTCAAAAAATGGAGAAATATATTGTAGACCTGCAAAAATGGAGTTATGGGTTGGAGATGATCTTACTCATCCAGTCTTTCTCAATGCTAAATATTTTTTTTTGTATTTTGTTTTTAAAAATAATAACTATACTTTAATTAGAAAAATAAGTATTGAATAATAAACTTTAGAAGAAATGAGTTTGAATTTGTGCTCTCTCTAATTTCTTTTAAAAGATTTATTATTCTATCTTGAAATTCGTGAGACAATAGAATATAAATATTACTAGGTATACTTCTTTTGCCTTCAAACTTCAAAATTTTACCATACAAAGAGTGAACTTGTAACTGTGAAGTTATGAGTTTAAAGCCCACACCTCTGTATCCATTTAACACATATAGTTTACCTTGTCGACCTAATTTTCACATTAAGCTGTAGAACCAAAATTATATTGCCAAAGATGTACCAATAACAAAACAATTCATTTCAAACACCAATTATGTATTATTGGAACATGCAATATAAAAACAATAACTTATGTATTATATTAACATATAGACATAAAAAATTATTACTATATTTTACTATGCTAACAAAAAATATAAAAAGAAAGCATTTTTTTACTCACTGTTTTTTAACATGTACACTCACCTTTATGATACATTATAAAATACCTCTAGTCAAGTTTGATCTGATTCAGATCCAGGTGGAAAATTAAAGGAAAAGTTGTCAACCTGACTAGTTGGATGTGGTCAAATTTTTATTTTTATTTTTATTTTTTAAAATAAATCATAAATCAGAGTTTGGGGATATCAAATGAAATTTCATAAACTTTTATTTGTATATGTAATTCAAAATTAAATTCAAACAGTAGATACAGTCGTTGATGACTCACGCATTGCACGAGGTGATGAGGAACGTGGGTAACACGGCCATGTTGAAAGGACACGGCCGTGTTGGCATCTCCATAAGTTTAGTTTGCTTCCCTCTTAAAGCATGTTCAACACGGGGTATTGTATATAAACACTACACCTCAGTAACAATAATCACCCTAGTTAACATCCACATCTTCGATGACCAAAATAACATAGAAACTTACATCGATGAATCTAAAAAATACATGGGACTAATCCGACGTATTTTGAAGCTATATAATGGGTATCTTTCTCTAAGGTCTGATTTTAATCTTACGCTCCAAAACAATCGAATCAACACCAATTTATTTCACATTAAACGACTATTTTAACTCAAAATTTGACCATTTTCCAAACCTCAAAGGTGTAATAATTCGAGAAACACAAATGCTTCCCATTCTATAATGAAAAACACGATCCATCGAAGAACAACCAAAACCAATCATTATTTCGAAGATCCCAATAGGCATAAATAAACATAGAAGAATCAAATCCCACAGACCATGGTTGTCCTCACTAAAAAGCCATACAACATTAAGTTAATGGCAGCAGCAGTTTGGCTTTCTCTAGTCTAGAAATAGAAACAAAATCAACAACAAAATTTTTCATTACCGTGCTGCGACTTCAGGCTGTCTTTGCCTTAGGCTTAATGCCCTTCACTCTCGAGTACAGGAAAACTCCGGCAAGGGCTATTCCAGTACCTGAATTGAAAGCAAGAATGAGAGAGGACCAAGTTAGTATGCACACACTATATTTTGAGTTGCCAGAAGGAATTAATCAATTGTACCTATTGCATTGGTAGATGAAACGGGTGTCCGGAAGAAGAGAACCGACGTGACAATCACCACCACCCGCTTCACGCAGTTTCCAACCGAATGGGTGACGGGAGATACACGTTGCAGTATCATGTACGAAACCTGCAGACATGAATTGAATCAAAGTTTAGGCGACATGAAACTAGTCTTATAGAGGGAGCTCTTTCAATTTATTCACCAAGTGATTCAGTTAAAAGTGTTCATCGGTATGAAAATTAATGAAATCAAAACTAAATCACACTGCTAAAACTATGAATGAAAAATTGAAGCACAAAAAATCTATAAGGAATACACCATCCCACCATCTTAATCTTGTTTAGTTCATGCAGTAGTCGAAAACTCAGAATAACATAGCTAATCACTAATAAGTTCATACCTTTCGTTTGATTTAATTTTGAACAAGTACCTTCTTGTTTGTTCATCTGTATCTACATGCTTCTCTAAAATTAACAAACATGAAGATAGTTTGTTCAAAATCAATCGAATAAAAGATATGCAGGGTCCCCGACCAAACCAAGGCCTTCATAAGTATTCCCTCTTCATTATTATGTTTCAGTTCTCAAGAAAAAAAAAAAAGAAAAACTGAGTGCTTACCTGTTGATATGCATGGAAGCATAGAGCGGCTATAAGCGACCTGGTGTAAAGCTGCTTGACATTCAATCCCTGGCAGTAATACAGATAAAAATAATCAGTCATAGGAATCAATTGAATAAACGACGTTTTAAGAAAAACAGTAATAAAACAATACTAGAAGCAATTTGCTCTTTCAAAATTCACTTACAGCGGCAGTGAGGTATGATGGTGTAAACTTCACACCTTCCATGGTTAAGGCAAGAGGTGCCATCAGGAAGAAAGACATTATTGTAATTATCGAGAAGAGATTAATATTGTCGAGGGATTCCTGCAGACAAGAATCGAAGGTGAAGCACCTCCCGTTTCTTTCAGTGCTAAACCAGATTTTGCAAAAATATGATAACAGATTGGTGAAAGCTAACTAAAAGCGGAACAAATAGTAATAGATCCCACTCTTTTTTTTTTCATCATTTTTCCATTTATTTTGCAGACACCATTTGCAGAATATACCTCTTTCTTGACCATAAGCTTTTTGCTGAGGACGTTACGTGATTGGAAGGTAATATTCGATGCCATAGCGCTTAGAAATCCAGCCCTGTAAAACCAACAGCAATAAAGTTCTCTGATGCAATCTCGAAACAGACACTTCTTATGAAATGATTCGGAATGGCAGCAACTGAATAATTTTTTACCAATTGAAAGAAGCTTCAGTCATTGATGCCAAAGCTACTCCACCAACAATGGGTAAAAGGGAAGACACAACCCAGAGTGAGGGGAACTGAGCAAAGAGGAGACAAAAGAGAGAATAAAGAAATAGCTAGAGGTAAACTTTACAGGTTCGAAACAGTGATCATTATCCAATTGCAGCTGGAATTCAGTAACAAATTTTATTAAGACAGTAACACTGATATAAAAATTTGAAGGCAAGTAGTTGTAATGAATTTACCACATTTGCAAACTTTTACAACAAATCAGAAGCTGTGAAAAAAAATCGATGATTACCTCCCCAAGAAACAAAGCAGAGAAGAGAACCGAAAAGAATGGCTCCATAGCTTTAATTGTGTGGGTGAATGAAACAGCAACTTTCCCAAGGCTCATATTGGTAAATAGGTTGCCTAAAGTATGCACCAATGCCAACGGAAGAATTGCAGCAAGCTGCCAATACACATACGACAATTGCATTCATCATGGCAATTATGAAACCGAATAATAGAACATTGAATGAGCATACAGCGTACATCTGAGTACCTGGGCACCAGTGACTTTGGGCCGTTTGTAGAGATTGAAGGTCCACATTAGAACAATGAGCGCGGATCCCAAACTAAATTGAACAAGAGTGACCGTCATTGGGTAGTGAAAAGCTTTGAGAACCTACAGAAGTGAACAACAGATGTCAACCCAATCAATACATCAGTTTGAAATCTGACATTCGAATAAGTATTCCATTGAACTATTTATTAAAATTTTCTGCCACATCACTTGATCACTCATTAATCCGTAGTTAATAGAATCATATAATAAGAATGGCATAAATAAGATCTGCCAATGGATTTGGCAAGTTAAATTAAGATAAATCAAGATTCTAAGTGCAACAACACTAAAAAAATGTGGTTGAAGGAGACTTGCTTGATCCGTTTAGATCTAATTATAAATCCATTCAAGTGGGAATAAAAAATAAAAAATAAAAAAACGTAAAGGAAGATTGGCATCAATTTCACATCTTCCTCCAACTTCCAAACAAACAGTTTACAGATATCAATATAACAAAATGAAACAGATTAATTAGACAACAGGTAAATCTACAGCCATTTCAAACATGAAACTCCACAGAGCATCATAATTGCTAATGGCTGCAACGGCAAAAGTGCCATTTTCACAAAAACAGATATTAGCTAAACGGAAGCACACGCATAAGCTCACAGCAACAAAATAAATGAACGACAAAAATACTAATTGCAGACATCGAACAACCAACAACAAACAAATCACGAGAAAAACAAACTTGAAGAACAAATTTACAACAATAAATCAACATAAACTACCTGCTTGTTGTAGATATTGAAGTAGATATTAAAAAGGTACCAAAGCCCGAACAGCGATCCGAGCACCAACGTTTCCACAAGGGGCTTCGATTTAGGGCTCTCCGCGGCATCCGCGCTCTCCGCTGTGGCTCGGACAACGACCGCATCAGATTGAGGCTCGGGAATCGAGGGATTGGGGTTCGAAATCCAGCCTCTGTCCTTGAGCGAGCAACCAATCGGAGAAAGCTTCGGCGTGGCCGAAACCAGAGCGGATCCATGACTGAAACGCTTGGGCCGGTGCGAGAGGGGATTGAAGCTGAAAGCAGAGAGCTTCCGGTGAGTGGAAGCGAGGGAAAGGGAAGGCGAGAAAGCAATCGCGGCGGTCTGCATTGTTTGTCTTGGGATCGAACGAACGACAAGAAGGAGCGGTGGTGTGGGATGTGTATGAATGTATGTATAGGCGGAGTGAGAGAGAGGGGGGAACGTTGGAGGCTCCGTCAAGACCAGAAATGAGTATATGAGAATGCAAGAGTTGTTGGCCAGGGGTACTATCGTCAAAAATCTTGAGGGTAACCTGGGATATCAGTGCGTTATTTAGGGTGCGGTTGTTTTGTACTTTTGAAATTATTTGTTTTTTCTTTTATTTTTTTATACGACTAATAATTGCATAGATAATAAAAATAATAAATGTGTATAATATTTTAGTTTTTTTTTTAAAAAAAATATATTAATTAATTTTAATAAAAAAATACACCTTTAAAAAATTCAAAATTTTACTACTTTTTTTTCATTTTATTGAAAAATTGTCATTAATTTAATAATCATACAATCTACGTAACATAAAAATACACTTCAATTTACAACATATTACACATCATTACTTTTATATTACACAAGATACTAGTAGGAATACTTTTATTTTTTTACTACTCCTATAATTTAATATAATATTAATATTTAAAAAATCTACTTATAAAGAATAAACAATAATTTTCTCCGAAAGGAGTATTAAAACTATATTTTTTAAGAAATATATATATATATTTTTTAAAAATATTTAATAAAATATTATTTAAATAAAAATTCAAATAAAAATTTTTCAAACAAAACTAGATAAATACACCCCAAGGATGGTTCGAATTCATGAGCAGGAGTGTGTTGTTTAACCACAAAGTTCACCATTTTCAATAAACATAAGAGAACTTTATTTTATTTGTATAAATATATTATATTTTGAAAAAATTAAATTTAAATCAAACAAATTAAAAAATGAACAAAATACTTTAAATTCAAATATATTATCTAAATCAAACTATAAAATTTCAATTAAAAGTTTTATATTGAGTCAAATTTAAATTTTTAAAATTTTGAATTTTGCGAATTATTATGAAAATTGGAACAAATTCAAAATATTAATACAGGAGTTTTTATTTATATCAAAATTGGAACAATTTGATATATTATGAATTTTTGAATTATTATTAATTTTCGAGTTTTTATTCAAGTAAAATTTTGTAATAAAATATAATACTCCTATATTTCTATTGAAAATTGTAATGAATGGATAGTGATGATTTAAATAATAAATTAATAAGATTTCATAAAAGAGAATAATATTGGGGTGTTCTTTTGTGGATTTGGACTTTGTGCTTAGAATTTGGACAGTAATAATTTCGAATTAGAATAATTATATAATGTGATATTATTGCAATTAGATTTTTCGAGGTCTCAAATCCCCTTGCGAGGCTCCAAGTCTTTTTCGAATATTATGCGTCTTGAAATAAAGCAATTGTTGCCAACAAAATGATGGAAGTCGGCTTAGAGTTTCGGAAAGTACTCCAAAAAATCTTACCAACGGTCGAAGTTTACAGTCCTTAGTTGCAAGAGGCTTCAGACTATCGAATATTGAATGTATGCGGCCTTTGAGCAAATATCTTGTTTATCCGATGGTTGACATTCGAGTTTTTAGCCCCGAGTGGCTTAAAACTACCAAGGACTGTGTGCTTGCGGCTCTAAACCATAAGGCCAACAAACGCATATGGTCCTTAGCCTCAGAGGGCTTCAGACTGCTAAGAGTGTAGCCAGAAATCACGAGGCCAGCGGAGAAATCGAATGACTCCCATAAAATTGAGGCTTTAACTACTTAATCTAATACATTGAAATGAAAATAAATTGAAACATATGTATGTATATATATATATATAAAGCGGAATAATGTAAATGACTGAACTATTAGAAATGAAATAAAGATAAAAATCTACATAATCTAGATAAAAATAAAGGATGACAATAACATATTTTTATGTGATAATTCTTCCTTTGTAATATATAATCTTATATTATTTATATTCCTAACATAAGAGTTAAATTCACTCTCTGAAATTTAGGGGATTAGTTATTCTTACTAAATTTTCAACCTCTTTAAGTAATTTTGAACATAACTTCCAACTATCACTCTTATATTTAATGTTTCTTAACCACTTTTGACGTTGAAAAATTCCATTTTGTGGCTACAGGGACCTAGTAGCAAGCGGCTTGGCGGACTAAGAAGCTCTGGCTTCGGAAGATTCTAGTATGCTTTGAAGCGGTTTGACGGATTGGAAGGCTTTGTCTTTAGGTGGCCTTGGTCTCCTACGGGTCCTGAAACCTCTCCCTATTTCTACTTCTTGGTCGCGTCTCTTTCTTATTCAAGTGTTTGTAAACCCATGACCAACTATATCCTTTTTAAAAGTGTTGGGTGTGCGCGTATGCAATAAGCCCATGTCCTTTTGGATCATGTTTTGTTTTCACCTCATCGTTTCATCGCCAATGTTGTCTATTTTTTTTTATGTTTTAATGAATTTTTTTTCTCCAACCATATACCCTCTGGTACTTCCCACAAAATCTATCATTTGCCTTACTGTTAATGGGAATGATATTTCTTACTCCCAGCGGCCGGCTTCAACGCCGAACTTGAGGAAACCCACAAGGCTTTGGTCGGGGAGAGGAACCCATTCCTGATGGCTTGCCTCACCTAGTAGTTTGAAGCCTTCGGCAAGATGGCCTGCTTCCTTTGGCGGTTTGAAGCCTTCAGCGGGACCGGTCTCACCCAGTGGCTTAAAGCCTTCAACGGTTGCCTTCTTGGTCTCCATGTCGGGATTGTATCATTCGACCTTGGTCCCACTAGGTGTGTCATTGTTGAAACCGGATTTTTTTAGATCTCAAATTTTCTTACGAGGCTCTAGCCTTTTTCGAGTATTATGTGTCCTGAAATCAAGCAATTATATGGAATTTTGCTTAGGGTTCCGAAAAGAACTCCAAAAAACCTTGCCAACGGTCCTTAGCCGTAAAAGGCTTCAGGTTATCGAATACTAAACTTAGGCGGCCCTTAAGAAAAAAGATCTGCTTTTCAAATAGTTGATACTCAAGTCTTTAGCCTCGAGTGACTTCGAACTTCCGAAGACTACGTGCATGTGGCTCTAAACCGTAAGGCCAACAAATGCGTAAGGTAAGGTCCTTAGCCTCGGAAAGCTTCGGACTGCTGAAAGTGCCGCTGGGAATTGCGAGGCCAACGAAAAAATCAAATGATTCCCATGGAATCAAGGGTATAACTACTTAATCTAATACATTAAAATAAAAATAAATTGAAATTAATATGAAAAGGCTAGAAATATAAATGATTTAAATATTAAAAATGCATTTAAGTATAAAAATCTACATAAACTAGATAAAACAAAATGATAGAGATAAGGTATTTTTATGTGATGATTCCTCCATTGTAATATGTATTTTTATCCTAGGAGTTAAATCCACTCATTAAAATTTAAGAAATTAGGTATTAAATTTTTCACTCCTCTAAGTATTTTGGACATCTCCTTCTACTGTCTTATGCCATTTAATTACATTTGATTTTGCCAAACTTTCTTCTGCCGTTGGAGAGACCTGACATTAAGCGGTTTGATAAATTATGAGACTTTGCTTTCAGTGGACTTTGGTCTCGGTGTCCTGAAGCTTATTTTTGTTTTTGTTTTTTTGGCGACGCACCTCCTTTTTTTCGGGTTTTTAGACTCATGTTCAATAAATATAAATAGGTAAATGTGTTATTTCAAATGTAAAATTAAATTATAATATAATATTATATTAATTTCATATTTTCCAATGAAAGAATTTGATGGATAATAAAATCTTGAGTAAAAACCATCAAAGAATTCACCAATCCATTTTGTCAACTTAATTTTTTATTGTCAAAGGAAAACAATATTTATATGTTTGTTTATTGTTTTGGTTGAAGGTATATTTTTATAAGTAAGATATAAAAAATTATGTAAAATAATAATATTTTAAATTAAATGTTATTTCTTTTTAGACGATAAAATATAATATAGTATATATATACACGAAGAATCGTGCCCGATAAAATATTAAATGAACAAATAGTTAAAAAAGAAACAAAACAAATGATTTGAATTTTTTTTCGTCAGTTATAGATAATTGTATAATTTATACAAAATATTAATATGTTAAATATTGATTTTAAAAAATAGTATTTTATATTAAATATTAGACTTTTATAAAATAATAAAATATATATTAAAAGTTATATTAAAAAAAATGGTGCAAACAAACCCTTAATATTAATAAATAATATTAATTTAATTTAAAATCAAACTTTTTAACTCATTAAATAGCTATAAAAACAATGTTCAATAAGTCAAAAACTTCCTTCTTTAAACACTCCAAGACTAATCATATGTGTAAATTTTAATGATATTCATCAATTGGGAAAGGATAGAAAAGTCATTTTCACGAAACAATTTTATTTATTTATTTATTTAACAATTTTGTTCTCAAACTGGTTGGTTTATCGATTTGGTATCTTTTGTTGTTTCTTCCTAAAACCCTAAGCCCTAATTCGGGTGAACCACCACCGCACCGCCACCATCACCGCTACCATGGTATCGGACGCCGACGGTGGGACGAGAGATGCGGGATTGGAGGCACTTCGACGGTTGAAGTCGACGGAACCACCTCTCTATCTTACCCCATCGCCGGAGCTATCGAAGGCAGCTCGCTCTGGCTCGGAGTACTTATTCTCTGCTCTTAAACCCTACTCTCCCAAATGCCCATTCAATCAACTATTGACGGAAGGTTTCGATGCGGAGCAGATATGGCAGCAGATTGATCTCCAGGCGCAGCCCCTTATCTCCACTCTCCGCCGCCACGTCAGGAATTTTGAGAAGAATCCGGAAGAGATTCAGAGGCAATTTAATTTGGGTGGAGTTCGCGGGAAGGAAAAGGATGTGCACGGTAATGGAGAAAGGAAAGATAATGAGGGCGTAGAAAGTGAAAGCGAAGGGATTAGTGATGACGACGATGACGATGAGAAGGAGGGTATACCAGAAGAAGAAGAAGAAGAAGAAGAAGATGATGATGATGATGATGATGAAGATGAAGATGAAGAGGAGGAGGGGCGGGGCGAAGAGGATGTAGAGATGGAGGATAACAACGAAAACGTGAACGGTGTGGAGGATAAGTTCCTGAAAATTAAGGAGCTGGAGGAGTACTTGTTGGAAGATGAGGCAAGAGAGTATGGCCTGAAGAAAGACAAGAAGCATAAAAGGAATAGAGCAACTGAGGATGAGGATGAGGATGGCACAGATGAAGATGAGGACGACGAAGAGGAGGATGAGGATGAAGAAGATGAGGTATGGCTTCTAACCCTAAGAACATGCCTAGATATTTAAAATATGGGATAGAGAAAGTTTAATAATTAATTGATGTTGGTGACAGCTAGGGCTAATGGATGATGATGCAGATGTAGAAGAAAGGAATGAGATGGAAAATGCAAGGTCCGTCTGTGTACACTTGTTTTAATTCTTTTTGTTGCATCTGAGTATCCGGAGCATGGTATTGAGATGCCATCCCTGTGTATGTTTGTTTCTTGGCTGGGAATGATGATCATATGCATCCCCTGTTTTTGTTTTTTGGATTTAGGTACGAGGACTTTTTTGGTGGTAAAAAAACTGACAAGAGGAAACAGTCTAAAACTTTTGGTGGATCGGATGACATGGAAGCCTATCCCAATGGCCATAATAGCAATCAGGTTACCTATGTTCTTGCATAATCTTACATGAGATTGCTCCATTATTGTGTGTAGGATTAGAGCCGGGAAGTATGCAGTCGTTCAATATTATGTTTCCCTGTCCTTGTATTATTAATCGTTGTTTTTCCTTTTCCTGTTGTTGTAATATTACACAGAAGAAGCAAGACCTTTCTACACATGAAAAGGAACTAGAAATACTCCGCACCGAGATAGAGGAAATGGAGAAAGCCAATTTGGAGCCGAAGGCATGGACTATGCAGGGCGAGGTAATTTTGCAAGATTTTATGTTTTGCTTCCCAATCACCTATGCTTATGGTCTTATTGTTTCACATGAGGATATATATATATATATATATATTTTCTATAATGTTAGGTCACTGCTGCAAAACGGCCGAAAAATAGTGCTTTGGAAGTTGATCTAGACTTTGAGCACAATGTGAGGCCTGCTCCGGTAATCACAGAGGAGGTCACAGCATCACTTGAAGAGTTAATTCAAAAACGTATTATTGAGGTATCATAATATTAATATTTATGTAGGATTGTAAATTTCATCTTTTATCATAATCTGAAATTGCTTTTTCTTCTTCCGTGTAGCTTAGAATCAATGCATGTTGCATATATCGTTTGTGTGTGTGTGTGTGTGTGATTACAGTATTTGCAGAGGTGGTGATTGAATCATCACAATGTTATTTGCCCAATATATTACCTGCCTAATCTTCGACAGACCCACTGATAAAGGCACTTTGTTTGGTTAAATGGTTACATAGATTAATTGATATGCTGCTCCAGTACAATATATACAAGATTTTACCTGTTAGCGGCAGATGTTCGGCAAATGGATATGTCAATTAAATCAAGGAACAACAATAACATACCTATCTCACATACTGGCTTAAACTATTTCCCTTCTCTTACCGCGACTGTTTAAGAAATAAATTAGTGGTTTTATGTCTGGGTTTGAGTGTGCATACGATATTTCATTATCCATATTCTCCCTGGCAAGAGGGAGGCTGACCGGTATGAAGGTTGTGTTTTTATGATGTCTCTTCTTATGTTTTTCCCTTCATGATGACTGCGTATTTTGTGAGGTGTTTGATCTATTTTGTGTTCAATACGCTATCTATTTTAGACACTGTAAACTTTTGTTTTTCCTGTAACTGAAGTTGTAAGATTGAAATTGTATTTCATGAGACACTATAATTTTTGTGACCGCTGGTCTCAGAATGAATAATTACTGTTCTTGTTATAATATGTAGGGTCAATTTGACGATGTTGAGAAGAAACCTACATTATTGACCAAGGCTCCAACAGAGAGAAAGGAATTGGTAAGTAATTAAACTCTAAAATTGTATGGCTTCTTCTCTGATAAGTTTTGTTCTAACCAAGCCAAATTACAAAATTCTTCAGGATGAAAATAAGAGCAAGAAGGGCCTCGCTGAAATTTATGAGGTACGTGTTCTCAAATGCAAAGTTCGGTAATTTGTTCATGTGGATATATGAACTGTGGAAGCCACTTTCTCTCATCTGTTTTTCGTAGATACTAATTAGTCTCTCATATTTGGTGCAGGATGAGTATGCTCAGAAGACTGGTCTCGTCTCAACAGCATTGTCTTTCTCCGATGAACAAAAGAAAGAAGTATGTACTTGACTTGATACTTATAACGTCTTTTTTATGCGGACAGTGCAAGATTTTGAAGTCATATTGCTATATTTTCTTTCACTTTTTTAAAACCTTCCTCGTGACAGCTTTTTTTTGTATATGTATCTATCTATGTCAGGTTATCTTCGAATAAATTTAGCAGCCGTAAGTCTTAATGCCATACTTCCCTTTTTATTGTCAGGCAACTTTGCTGTTCAAGAAACTGTGTGTAAAGCTGGATGCCCTATCTCATTTCCACTTTGCTCCGAAACCGGTAATGTTTTTGTATGCCTGGATGTGTTTCACTTTTCAAACTGCTTAATCGATATTTTTTAACATTAATGATTATAAACAGATTATTGAGGATATGTCTATACAAGCAAATCTCCCAGCCCTAGCAATGGAAGAGGTGAGTGATTTGCTTGTCAACTGTTTATTGCGACACCAAATACACTCACCTATTCAAGCATTAAGTTATCCAAAATTTTCAGGTTGCGCCACTGGCTGTATCTGATGCAGCTATGCTTGCTCCTGAGGAAGTGTTCTCTGGTAAAGGTGACATTAAAGACGAAACGGAACTAACAAAGGAGGATAGGAAAAGGAGAAGAGCAAACAAGAAAAGGAAATTCAAAGGTAATAATATAGCAGCTCATGTGATAGAGATACCATCAAAATTTATTGCAAGATATTGATTTCTGATTTATTCTGCTCATATATTCTCAATCGACTAGGCTTGGTCTTTAGTTTTCTTTGTCGGAAAGATATGGTTTTATAGTTCCGCTAATTAGATTGAATGGTGAAGTATTACCCCTTACAATCAATCCTCGATCTTCTATTTCATAGATAATCGTGGTTATGACAACAAATACTCTATAGACTATAATGCTATGCAGATCATGTTCATCTTATTTCACACTTGCTGAATCCTTTACAGCGGCATCTGCCAAAACGATTATTGTTAAGCCGCAGCAAAGCACTTCAACAAGGCATGCCAATGGTAAGTCTGTCACATTATTTTGCATTTTCTTTTCGACTATATCTTCGAAGCTTCTATATAATCGAATCCTACGGCTACTTACTGCATAAAAACAACAGGAATTGAGAACTCATGAGTGACATGTACAACAGTCCCATGAACGAGATCAAGCTCGCCCCCTCAACAGATGATGGAAAGCTCTGAGAGTCGCACGAAAAAATTGCGCTTTGCCCCGACTCCTCAGCTCGCCGGACATCAAAATTTTGATGCACACTAGGTTGTTGCTATTACAGCTTCTCTTCTTCCTCTTTTTTTTTTTTTTTTTTTTTTTTTTTTTTTTTTTCTGAATTAATTTAAGAACAATTGTGGTTTTAGTCATTATTTAAGGCGATGGCTGTATATTACAACATATCAATACATGTAACAAGGGCCATTGGTTTTCAAATTTATTTCACAAGAATTATGAGTGCAATATTTTGAATAGACCATATAGTATATCTTTTTAATGTAATACTCCTTCCTCTGGCCGTAGAAAGGTTATTTTTAAATTTTTTTAATATTAGTATTAGTTGAAAAGGCCGTAGAAAGGTTATTTTTAAATTTTTTTAATAATAGTATTAGTTGAAAAGGCATTTATTAAGTTAGATATGTAAATATAATTATTAAATTAAAAAATAATAATTTTATTTTGTGGGACAAATAAAGAAAATGACAATAAAGAAAGAGTATTACTTTTTTTAAAACCTATAAAAATGTAACACGGAATATTTATTTGTAAATAGTGCGAAATCAAATTTAAAAACATAATAAACAGATCGAAGATCAATAATAGGAACACAAAAGCCATAATCCTTTCAAGACAAATCCAATCAAACCTTACAACAATCATCATCATCGTCTTCGTCGCACTGCAACCTAACCCTAACCCTAACCCTGTACATGTAAATCTCTAGCTAGAAGCAGAACTGCCGGCCGCCCGAGCCTCCTTAGCATTCGCTCTCACAATCTTCTTCAAATACGACTTCACGACGGCGACGCTGCTCTCCTTCATCGCAATCGGCGTCAAAGAGGAAGTCACCTTAACCACCGCACAGAACTCAACATTCGCATAGATATCTTCCCTAATAATGTTCATGAACCTCTCCGCGAGGCTATAAACTCTTACAGTGAACAGAAGATAACCAGGAATCGGATCCTCTTTCTGGTACAGGTAGTAGAAACATTTCCTCTTCCCTATCTCATTTTCTCTGCCGTCGTAGATCGTTTGTTCTAATCCGTAGCTTTTCCAAAATCCATCTCCGCATCTGCGTAAACACGGATCGCGCCAATGGCGGTCGACGGCGAGAAAGTAGATCTCCTTGTTGTACGGATAGCTGTCGTCGAAGATCGTCAATGGAGTTTCGTCGGCGAATACGTCGAAGATAGAAAGATTGAAATCGAATTTCGCAGGCAATTCGAGTCTCCTTCGACACCTCTTGTTAAGAAGATAGAGTATGATTTCCTGATCGGAGAGTCGGAAACTCAGGCCGTGTGCGGCGTCGCTGACCGCGGCGGCGGCGGAAGATTCCGATGGAATGGTAGGGATTTGGCGCGATCGGATAATCTGATCGAGGTAGTTATCGACGTCGAAGCGGCGGTTCGGCTTCGATGGAAGATCGTCGACGTCACCGACGAGGACAGGGACTTTGAAGACGATGCAGAGTGTGTAGTATCGGAATTCGTAGTCGACGTGGGAGAGGAGTTTCTCGGCGAGGGTGTATTCTCTAAGGGAGTATTGCAGGCTGCCGGAGTCTGGCTCCGGCGAGTAGTATAAGAAGCGCATTCCGGCGCCGATCTGGAGGCCTTTGTTGTTGTATACGGTGGTGGTGTTTTCGTACTTATGGTGTTGCCATTGGCCGGAGCCGCAGCGGCGTTTGAATTTGTGGAGGAGTTTGTAGGTGTTGGCTAAGCAGTAGATTTCGGGGGCGTCGGGGGGGTCGGCGTGGCGGCGGAAGAGCTCCGGCGGGTCGTGGTCGCCATAGATGTCGACAAGTTGGAGTTGGCGTTGGAGGGCGGCGGGGAGGGAAACTCTGGTTTTGCGGAGGTTGTTGAAGAGGCAGAGGATGATTTCTTGTTCGGATAATCGAGGTGGTTTTGCCATTACTGGAATGGAAGTGGGAATCTGAATCAGTGATTTGAATTGAAGAAGAAAAATGAGTTACGGTTTCAGTTCTTGGAAGAAGAAGAAGACTCAGTGGGGAAGATGACTGGTATGCTTTTTGTGAGGATAAAAAGAATTTTAAATTCCTTTTTTTTTATTTATATCAAACAATAATTATTTTAATTATTTCTACTTTAAATTCAAATATAATACTTATAAAAAAAAAAAAAACAAATGGATACCACAGAGGGTAGTAAAATATAAATATTTATCTATATTTTCTATGAAATACTAATATAATAGTAGTATTATTTAAATTTTATATTCAATACAAATAAGTTCATTTTTTTGAAATGGAAGAAATATATATTATTTTTAAATTAAATATTATTATTATTATTTAATAATTTTTCTTTATTTACAAATGCAATTTTCTTTTTATTTTCTATATAGTAGAATTTTAAAAGAAAAAAAAAAACATTTGAAAAAAAGAAGAATTATGATCCAAATTACATAGTATATATAACATAAACGTACTTAAAGTCAAAGCATCCAAAAGAGTATGATGCTTCTAAGATTTATATTTTTGAGTGACCAATTTCAATTATATATGGGCTCAATTTTGTTCTATGAATCGCATTTATTTTTGCTAGTATATTATGAAATAGTATAACTATTAGTAACTTAGGGTTAAAATTTGCAATTAAATCATATAGAGTCTATTTATTTATTTATTTTAAGTCTGGATGGGTGCGTGAATGATAAAATTATGAATTAAAATAATTTAAATAGATGGTGGTGGGGTTAGTAATATTTTGAATAAATGGTTGTGTGAATAAATCTAATTTTCTGATTTTAAATAAAAATTAATAAATAGTTTTTAGATACCAAATCCAAATTAACTTCAAAGGAACATTTCACAACTGTCAAAAGATTTAAATCATGAACAATCCACACAGAAAATTGAATACCAAAACAAGTCAAGTTCAGAAACAATTCTTCAATCCAAAAAAAAAGAAAATGTAAAAACCATACAACGATATACTGATCAGTTTCAACGAACCTAACAAGAACATACACCAAAATTCGAATTCAAAACCCTAAAAAAAAAGGAAAAAAATCAAGATCGATCCAACCCAAGATCCAGAAACCCTTCAAGAAAGCTACAAACCCACCAAAAATCGAATTCAAAACCCTAAAAAGAAAAAGAAAAGAAAAACAAAATCAAGATCCAGAAACCCTTCAAAACAAAACCTACAAAGCCACCACCAATACATGGTCACATTTCACTTTCAATTCACTTCAAGAAGCATATCGATATACATATCGATTTCGAGCTTACTACTTTTCTTAGGAATCTCCAAAGCATTAATCTTGATCACCACACAGAATCTGTGGTTCTTGTATTCATCTCTGACGAAAGGCTCGAACTTCTTGGAAAGGGAATATTCTCTGAGTGAAAACAGATCATAACCAGCATTGGCTTTCTGCTCAGTGAAGTAGAAGCACTGTCTAAACCCTATTTCTGCTTGATTACATATCGATTGGGATCTGCCATCGCTAGTCCAGAAAAGCTCGAGATCGAGGCCACAATTGCGGGCAAGTCTGTTCCCAAAAATGGTCTTGTGCTTCGTCAAAAAGTAGATTTCTTGATTGTAGGGATAGTCTTGGAAGACATCGGTGGGATCTTTGTAGCCGTAAATCTCGAGAGTTGGGAGGTTGAGTTTTAGGGTTTCATCGGGCAATGAGACTCTGTGATGGGCCAACTCGTTTAGAAGACACACGATGATTTCTTGATCGGAAAACTTAGGCTTTGGCATTGGGTTGTATGGGACTGGTTCTTGAAGATCCATTGCTGAAGGAAGGGAGTTGAGAGCTGCAGAGTTTGGGAAGAATGGGGAGAGCGAAGAAGATGAGTTTCTTGGAAGAAGATGAAGATTGCTACGTGAATGAATATGGGTATCTGTGAATATATAATATATATATATATATATACATAATGGTGATTGGGATCCATATTTTGGGGTTTCTTGGCTTTGTTTGTTTGTGTTTTTTATTTGGTGAGATTTTTATAGTTAGTTATCAAGGAATATAAAAATGAGATTCGTTTTATAAGAAAAATTAGAGTATTTTTATTAAATTTTATGGATAATTTTTATTTTTACTTTCATTTAAAATGGTGTATAAAATAAGATAATAAACTTATTTTTTATTTTATTTTTATGCCATATGCAAAAAGTATTTTTATTAACCACACTGAATTTAAATTCAAATTAATAACACATTGTGGTATGCTTTATTAGTATATTTCTGTTTTCGGTGGTCGTTCACTTTGTTTTTTGTTTTTGGGAATTAAAAATCGAATTTGGTTTCCATAAAATTTTGATGTGATATACCTTGTTAATAAAAAATTGTTTTTTTTTTTAGATATATGTAAAATACGAAGAGCAGTTTCAATTTTGTCTCATCCCATCAATTGTCAGAAATGACAAAAAGTGACAAATTGAATAGTCAAAATATTTATGAAAAACGGTAGGTGAACGAACATTTTAGTGCAAATTTTTTTTAATGCTCTGAATTTTGCAGTCACACACAGTTCAATGGTTGCAACTATAAATGAGCATTAAATTATAACTACCGGTTAATGTCAGGCCTAAAAAAGGACATACAATATTTAATTGATTTTCAAAACTATATATATATATATATATGTCTAATGGATTCTTTTCAAAACTATATGTATATATATATGTCTAATGGATTCCATTCATTCATAGTCACAAATAAACTTATCACCAGGTTAACAATGATATTTTCATGCTTCAATTAACATAACACACTTGTTATCAACTTTCGACTATTATTAAAAAAAAAATCTATCATCTACTAGCTACTTTTTTAATTACTTTTTAATACTACCTTTGTCCATCTTTAAACGTCTTATATATTTTTTACGGGTTAATTTTTAATATGAATTATTATATAAAAATATAGTATAAATTAAAAAAAGAATTGCAAAAATATTAGTGTTTTATAATATTAATAAAAGAATATTTATAAAAAAAATTATATAAATATAAAAATATTTGTAAAAGTAAATGTACTTTTGATGGAGCATAATAGTTTGCAGATGGGGAATACTCTTTTTATTATTATTATTGAATTTTGTAAAATTATTATTACATGAAGAAGTAGTCCAATCCATCCATTATTAGTATCTATTATGAGGACTAAGAATCCAATTTTAAACCCAATGTTGTTTTCTACTTAAACATGAAGCAATTCTTGGCATCATACTTTCTTTGGAAGTTGTTAAAAAAACATAAACCCCACAAAAGCAAAATAAAGCAACAGCAAGCAAGGTCAGCCATTTCTTGTCAACATTTGTGTCCCATTAAGATGTGCAAAAACCCTTAAACAATTCATTCAAGATTCTTCTTCTTCTACACAACATACAACATGTGAATAAAGATGCCAAATAAACAAACAATCAAAAAAAAAAAAAAGAACCCCTTCAAAGAAATTCCCCAAACAAAACATTAAACACTTACAATTTCTACTACCTCCCAAGTAAAGTATATCTCTTCTTCCTATACTCTTTATCTTCCTCCTACCCTTTGATTCATTCTTTCTTCCAGAACCCTCATTTTGTTCCCAAGAATCTCTAACTTCAGCCATGGCTTCCCATTACATGCCCACTCTGTTCTTCTCTTTCACTACAATGGTCCTGTTAGTACACGGCTACGGCCACACGAACGCGTGCCGTTCGTTCTGCGGGAACCTAACAATCGACTACCCCTTCGCCCTCAAACCGGGATGCGGCCACCAAGGCTTCCGGGAGCTCTTGTTCTGCATCAACGACGTCTTGATGCTCCACATCACCTCCGGATCGTATCGCGTCCTCGACATAGACTACGCCTACGGATCCCTCGTGTTGCACGACCCTCACATGTCCACTTGCGACACCATCACACTAGGGAACCGTGGGAACGGATTCGTAGTCGAGCCATGGCGATCACCCTACATGAAACCTACCCCGGAAACCGTTTTCATGCTACTGGCGTGCTCGTCCCGGTCCCCGCTCTTCCAGGGGCTCCCGGGGAAGCACACGCCATGCAGAAACGTGTCCGGCCTCGGCTGTGAGGATTACTATGGGTGCCCGGCTTGGGACGTGATCCCCCCAAGACAGGACAGCCCGGTCTATGAAACAGGCCCTCCGGATTGCTGCGCAATGCCGTATGAGAGCATCAAGAGTGTCAATCTTACGAGCCTAGACTGCCAAGGGTACAGCAGCGCGTACAGCGCTGCGCCGTTGAGAGTAAAAGGGGCGGACGAATGGGATTACGGGATTCAAGTTAAGTATTCGGCGCAAGGGGGAGAGATGTTCTGCAGGGCCTGTGAGGCCACTGGGGGTTCATGTGGGTATGATCTTGACAAGATGAGTGATCTGTGTATGTGTGGGAGATGGAACTCAACCTCTAATTGTGATTCAGGTAAGATAACAATGGAGATTTCTTGATCTATCCTAAGTAGATTTGGTTGGTTGGTTCATTCTAATGGATTCTTGATGATTTACAGTCTCCTCTGATGCATCTTCTTCTTCACAAACAAGAAACGAAGCTGCATCACTTACAGGTATGGCCCTTTTCAATTGGGACCACTTTGTTTTCGTTCTTGTTTATTTTGGAGTATTTTACACTATTTGATTCTTCCACAAGTTTCTGACTACCTAATTACTTTTGAAAGTTTTGACACTATTTGGTGATTCCACAAGTTTCTGTTTACTTACACTTTTGGAAATTTTGGCACTATTTATGGATAGTAATTCTTTCAAAAAAACAAACAAAAGCATCATATCAACTATCTATTTCGTCTAACTGAACATCAACATAGATACTTAAAACTTCAAATTTCCAGAAACGTCTATCTAAATGTTGTCAAATGTTTTGGTGCAGGAGGGGTGATGATAATAGGAATTCTTTGGAGGTACATAAACATGGCAATTGGAATGGAATAGAGAGAAGATCCCAATCCCAATTGGTTTTTGTGTGCATATTTTTGGCTACTTAGTCCGACTCTACTTAATTTTTATTATTCTCAGAACTCCAAAACACTTCCAAAACATATCACAACATAACTAAGACAAACAAAACAAGACATAATCACACAATCTCTCAAACAATTATATGATTGAATGCTTATTTTAATGTAAAACATTAACATTTTCATTTAAAACATTCCATCGAATACATATTTACATATATCTTGCATCGAATACATATTTACATGCATCAAAGATTTATGTTAATTCTAACTTTTATCATCGCCAACTACAAAACAGCATCCAAGCAAAAACGTTTTGATCCAAGAATGTTTTAAAATCAATTCGAAAACGAATCATAGACGACTACTATTCAAATAACTGGCGACCATTGGAATCTTTTTACCCATGCTGAACCCAGGAAAACGGATTCTTCTACACTAATCCAATCCGATTTTCGAACACTTACTAGAAAATTATGAAAGGTTGTGTCCGTGTGCCTAACTGAACTATAACTGAGCACAGACTACCGTAGCAATCATGTCCCAAAAATGGCAACAGAGAGATGAATGAATGAAGGTTGTTTACCTGATGGCGTCAGGACTCCCGGCAGATGAAAAATACCTCATGATGAAACTTGAAAGCGACCATACGCAAACGATGCCAAGAAACTGAAGAACATTCAGAAGTGTTGTGAGCGATCCATTTATAGCCATGTTGTGTGAAGTCATCTCAGCTCCTCTTATGGTAAAAGAGAGAGCCGTCACCAGTTGTGCGGCTCGGTTCAGTTGGTGCAACCTGTAAACCTTTACATTGTACAAAACGAGAACAAATTAGACACATTGATTCCCTTGTCAAACATCAAGCACTTATCTGTTTATTTAAAACATTACATTCTATTCAAAACACTACACCGAACATCTATTTATAAATATCACATTAAAGTTATATTTCAATTCAAAGTTTTACTATTTCCAACCATGGTCCAAACAAATGCCAAATAATGGAAAATACTTAATACACTGTTCCGCTGTAACAACTAACAATACACAAACGAATTCAGGTGTCTATGATGGAAATGGGTTCAGGTTTACCCGAGAGTCATTCTGTTTAACAGTCTCATGACCAAATAACCGAGTTTCGGATCAAGAAAAGAAGACTGCAACCCAGTCAGGTTACAGGTCAAGGGCCCCGACTCAGTCTCGATCATTGAAAGATTAAAGATATTGAAACTTTGTCTAACATATCGAAGTACAAGAAAATCTTTAGCTCACGAATTCACTAACATTGCACAGTTAGCCATTCCATCCACTTAAAGATTTAGCAGCGCAAAGAGTTAAGGTTGATTTCGGGGAAAAAGAGGAACGTGGACCAAAGCCCAAATCTAGTAAACATATGAAACAAGTAGGCTGGAAATTTGGAATGCTTTCAGTGATGCAATACGCCTATTAGCTGAACACGTCTAGCAATTTAATATCGACTACTTACTTGGAAGATTATAGGTATGGCTGCTAAGGAAGGAGAGCGAATGCGTCTTGCGAACTGCTCAAAGGCAAATTGGACGACAATCCCAACTAGATAAGGTGCCAAAGTGGCAGAAGCTGCAGGGCCTGTCCACGGCCAGACAAAACCCATTGTCACTGTCGGGATTATAAGACTGAGCAGTAAAATAGCACCAGAGGATATCCGATCGCCCAAGCGAGGGGCAAGGTTTGGGACTGTCCCTGCAGTTGCCTGCCTCATGGGCCTCTGCCGACGGTCTATTAAGAAAAGAAACACAGCAACTCCACAGTAGAAAAGGGCTTCGGTGAAGAACAGTATAAGAAAGTCTGCAAAAAGAACAAGCTTCTTTAAATACCATAAACAATGGTGATTCACTAACGTAGAATCATCTTCCAAGTTTACTCCTACCGGTTAGTAAAGAGTCTTCAAATATCGTAGAGAGTATCCTGCGCAAATAAAGTGAAGGAAACACGAAAGATGAGACGAGGATAGTTGGACCAACGAACCACACTACGTAATATTTATTCTTTTTGGGGACAGGCACAAGAATCTGATCTTCTATTTTCTTGGAATGTCCATAAAATGAAATAAATCCCGGTTTCCCTTGAGCTACTTCGATAGAATTGTCGGAAACTGCAGTGGGGGTAGCATCTTCGGAAGAGTCTTGCAGTTCTTGCTCCTCGGACTCTTCAGGTTCAATGTTCTGTCGCAAATCCTGATCCCCCAAGGTTGCAAAGAGGATGCCTTGCTTTCTCGATAGCCTTTCATTTACCATACGTTTTCTGTGTTTGAGCTGGAATGATTTAACAGCTTGTGCGAGGACAAAATAACCAAAATAAGATCAAGGATAGGTTCAGCACAAAAATAACTTCTTGCAAAAGAAACTTATATAAACAAAATCATTTGCGAGTCTTAAAAGAGCTACCTGTCGTATTTCTAGAGTGTTCTGAAATGCCGAGCCAGGACACCTTTGAGATCAACTGATTAAAAATAACATAGAAGTTTCTGAAAATCGTGTGCGATTCCATACTCACACAAAAAAGATGTAAAGTGTGTGAACAACTTGGAAGAAACAAGCTATGAATAAGTGAATCGAAGAAGCACATAACCTGTCAAATGATCGAGATAATCGAAGAAATATGGTATCCTAACATCTTCTACACCAAATTCTGTTTATTCATAAGCCATCCTAAAATATATCCTTGTTCTTATATACCAACAACTACCGATTTCCACAGCTAAAAGTGACTCTTCAAATTTTATCGAAACAGTCGTATACAAACAAATGCATCAAACAAGAAGACTCTGCATCCATCAACAACATAAGACAAGTAATGGTGTCGAAAACCTTCACAGCAGTCTTAACTAATGTTCAACGTAGTTCTTATAATTGTGTAACGAGTGAACTAATCTCAGGTCTTAACCTAATCTGTTCTTCACATGTTTACATTTCCCCATTTTGATGAAACTTGATTTCAACAAATGCATCAGAAGCTGCTTCACAACACTATAATCAATTTTCTTCATAGTCGAAGAAGAAATTCATTCCATACCCTAAGCTACTCGCATTTGAACTACTGAATTCGAAAGCAGAAACCAAAAACCCAATCGATCGCCACACCAGAATTCGATAATCGCAAGAGCACAATCTAGCCAAACGAGCATCAATTCGTGATCAAACAACGAAAAAAATCACAGAGAAGAGAACACGCACCTTCAAATTTACCTTAGGGCGAAAAGGCGAAGAAGAAGGAGGCGCGGAAGCAGATGGAAACGACGAACCAATTTTCATTCTGACCGACATTCTTCTCCTCAACTCACGACCACGAAACAGTCGGTACCACCCGACTCCTGCTACTGGAAGAAGACGAAATCAACAACAGCTAGAGCTCCCATGGCATGGCGGAAATTCCAATTAACAATCAGTCGCAAGGACGGAGTGAATTCCTATGTGCAGTAATGACAGCGACGACTCGGCAAGATTAGGCTTAGCCCACAATTTCTTTCCCCTCAAAATTTATTCTGGCGAGCAGAAATTGACTATTTATCTTTTCTTGTTTGGCAGAATTTCTTCATTACAAAAGAGATTCAGAAAAACTAGCTGTCATTTCATAAAATCATTAACAATTTGAAGCCAAAAAAGAGGTTCTTGATGGAAATTATTAAGCAATAAATTGGTGGTTCCATGGACAATAAATGAATCGATTCTAAGAACCTCAAAGTGTGGTCCTAATGCACTGTTTAGAAGCTTGACTAAACATCCACGAAAGCATCACAAAGATGTTTGTTTAGGTGACATTTCACAGAGCATTTAAGAACTTGAGAAGGAACACTGAGGAATAATCTCCAAAACAAGTTCTATACCAAACAAACAGTATCCAATTCAATAAACAAGACTACTGAAAACCATAGAAACAGATGAAGATGAAGATGATGATACAGCTCAAGCTTGGACAAATCCTAAACAACAACAACAACGACAACAATGCCGACGATCAACATCGATCGGAGGTGTATCGGATAAAACAGCAAGCAATGTCAAGTTACATAATGCAGTAGTAGTGTATTTAGCTTAACTTTGGCTATATGGATATCACCGGGACGGTTTTGTTTGCCATTGCAGGTTAGACCTGCGCCGTGCCTTCGGTGAATTTCGGGTCCTCGCATCTGTATTTGCCATCAGGACCGATGCCGAAGCCTCTGGGATCTGCGAATACGTTCTCTAGCAACTGGCTGCGAACGGGGTGAGGGCTTTCATCTGCAAATTCGACTGCTTCTTCGATTAGCTCATCGATCTTCTTATCTATGGCCTTGAGCTCAGATTCGCTTGCTAAGTTGCTTTCAAGAATGTACTTTTTCAGGGCAGTGATGGGATCCCGCGTAGCGTAATGAGCCTTCTCGACTGCAAAGTTAAGGAATGTTAGCAACAATAGATATGTCGAATTCTTGAAAACCAATTCCCCGTAGATTATATAGCAAAGCGTGATTGAAAGACAAAGTTATGCATCAAAAAGCAGAAGCGTAAAAGTAGAAACATGCATATCATGTAAGGATGGGAAAGATAAAATTGAGTCGAAATGGTTACCAGGGTCACGCAGCTCATCGGGATCAGCCAAAGAGTGACCTCTGAAACGATAAGTCTCACATTCAACCAATGTCGGGCCCTCGCCTCTTCTAGCCCGACCGACAGCTTCTTTCGCAACCTCCCTCACCTTCAACACATCCATTCCGTCGACATGAACACCAGGCATGCCAAAAGCGGGACCTTTCTTCCAAATTTGGGGATCAGAGGTTGCCCTCAAATGGGACATTCCGATTGCCCACAAATTGTTCTCGACAACAAACACAATGGGAAGCTTCCACAGTGCAGCCATGTTCAAGCATTCGTAGAACTGGCCGTTGTTGCAAGTCCCGTCTCCGAAGAACGCCAGTGTCACCTCATCACAATCCTCCTTCAGAACTTCCCTCTTGTACTTGCTAGTGAATGCAGCCCCCGTCGCGACGGGAATGCCTTCCCCAATGAAGGCAAACCCGCCGAGCAGATTGTGCTCCTTGGAGAACATGTGCATCGAGCCCCCCTGGCCCCTACAGCAACCGGTGGCCTTCCCAAAAAGCTCGCTCATGACCTGACGGGCAGGCACGCCTTTGCTCAATGCGTGGACGTGGTCGCGGTATGTGCTGACCACACAATCTTCTTTTTTTAAGAGCTTGATGAAGCCCGTGGATACGGCTTCTTGGCCATTGTAGAGATGCACAAATCCAAACATTTTGCCTCTGTAATACATCTGCGCACACATGTCCTCAAAAGACCTCCCTAGAACCATGTCCTCGTACAATTCCAAGCTCTCGTCTTTCGTTATCAACTGCATCCAAATACAAAGGCTCTGTTTACATCGATGGTTTTGGAGCCTTTTTGCACTATTCACAACGGCTATCAAATACATTTTTCCTCTCCCAATACATTATATCGAATAGCTAACTTTCTACTATTTCCAAAATTTTCCATAGCTATGAAAAACTTTCAAACTTCGATCTAATTGGAGAAAACCTTATCACATTCGATACCAGGATAAAAATCATTGAAATCCAACTACTTGTATTATATATATATATATATATGTATATATACACAGAAATTTCAGCAATTAATCATTATATCAAGTTTATCATACAAATATATATATATGTATATATTGTTTGATTTGAGAAATTCTAGTTGCAATCAAGGGTTACTTAACTGATGCAATTCCTACAAAAATCAAACTGGAAAACAGGATAATCACACATAATATAATCAACAACACGGCTAAAATCTCGACCTAATCGATAATACAATAAACACGAACTAAAATTCGAAGCCACAAAAAAATTAAGGAGTTACCAAATTGGTAGTAGCTGAACCAGGCTTGAGCTTCTTCTCCTTCACCACGTCGGAAACAGCAACGACGGTGGAAGATCGGCGGCCGACAGCAGAAATCCTTTTGTTCCCAGAAACCAGCTTGGACGCAGACGAGCCAATAAAATTGGAGTTGCTCACCAATTTGCACGAAGAAGCAGACTTATCTCCAGATCTGGGAGAGCTAATCAACAGAGGGTTGTGGATGATTTTGGAGGCTGCTGAACACGCCATTTTCGGTGGAGGCCGACAACTAAGAACAGCAACAGCTACAGGAATCGAATGAATGCAGAAGGAGATTCGATTCTGAGGTCGCCCGGCAGTCCAAAACGGCGAGGAATCGAAGGGAAGAGATCAATGGATCAAAATGGGGGCGAAGAGAGTGAATACATATATATATATATATATAGGTATATATTATGAGATGGGTGAAAAGTAGAGGAGAGGGCGGAGAATACGAGAGTTTGTATAGAAACAACCGTCAGTACTAGATGTATTTATTTCTTATGCTTTGTTTGGCTTCCGTCTTTTTCTTTTTTCTTTTTTTCTTTTTTTTTTTTTTTTTTTTTTTATTTTTCTGGAATTATTAGTCAATAAAATAATAATAATAATGATTTATTGGATAAAAAAAATAGAAAATTAAAATAATTTTCAGCCACTTGATCGGTGCATTAATGTAATCAAATTCCAATTTTACCCTTAAACTGGTTTGAAATTCAATAGAAGGTATGAAATGCATTGGCTTTTATTATTCACTTATTTAACAATACATATGTTATAATTTTGTTTCCGGACGTATTATTTATTAACGTAAAATATTTTCTAAATTTGTCACATTTAGCTCAACAATACTACTCCTCCGTCTAGGTCTAATAAACAATTTTATCTATCCAAGATTTTATTATTCTTATTTTAACAAAATAATAACTAATTTATTCAAATAATCAATTTATCATTATTTTTTTAATTTATCCAATCATCTTTTTATCAATCATTTAATAAAGTTCTATTAATACATATACTTTATTTTTTAGTTATGTCTTTTAAAAGTTAAGATATCATTATATTTTAGTATGTACTCAAACAAACCTATACATTGACCCAATATAGGGAGTATTTTTTTTTATCTGAAAAACAAACACAACCATATAATATAAGAACATCTAAAATACTAATAAAGATTAGTACCAAATTTAAAAAATATTGATAGTCGGTAAAAAAGTATAAATATTTTTTTTTGATTTGTGAGTATATTAATATAAAAATAGTGACATTTGGATAGTTAGAATAAAAAAATAAAGATAATTTTACTGAATATTTATAAAAATAAAACTATTATTATAATACAAATAAAATAGTAAACAATTGAGACTAAGGGAGTATTGTGTTTTTTCAAACATTTATACGAGAAATATCTGATTTAAGCATCCTTAATATAAAAGTACTTTTTTATTTAAAATTCAATTTTGAATAGGTTTATGAAAATAAATCATACTCCCTTCGTCCTAATACAATAATTTTATTTATTATTTTTGTCCGAGTCTCATTTTCGTAAATAGTCATATCACCATAAACCTATCCATACCTATTTATTTTTATTATACAATTGTCGCACATTTTTACACTAATAAACTCATAAGGGTAAAAAAAATCTTTTAACTCACTCCCTCCGTCCCAATACATTTATCATTTTTGTCCGTCCCAAAACAATAGTCATATTTCCATAAATAATCATATCACCATAAAACTACCTCTTTTTATTACACAGTTGTCATTACTTTTTACACTAACACTCAGTAAGAACAAAAAAGTCTTTTATCCATACTCTTTACTCACTACCAATATAATATCAATATTTCAACCCAATTAAAACTATATTTATGGGACGAAAAAAATCTATTTTACCAACTACTAATATAATACTCCCTCCGTCCTAGAATTAAATATCCATTTACTTTTTTGATGTAGTTTTAAAAATATTAATATTATATTGATATATAGTAGAAATAAAATAGAAATGACTAAAATAACTTTATTAGTACATGTGATATAAAAATAATGACATTTGTGTAATATATTGTAAGTTGTAAAGATATTTATAATGTTAGATATATAGTACAATTACTAAAAAAAAAAAAAAAAAAGAATACTTTGTTACGAAACAAACTAAAATGAAAAAATGGATAGAGACAGAGAGAGTATCCATCTTTCTTAAATTTTGTATCCAACCCTACTAAGCCTGTAGTTTTAGGATGGAGGGAGTATTATATTTTTTATAAAAAAAGATTGCTAAAGGAAAACCCAAAAATAAGAAGCAACAAACAAACAAATATAACTCTTCATAACCCTGATCTATTCAAGACATCAAATGTGATTTTCCATTAGTTTCAACTGTCAAATGCTGTATTCAGATTGGTTGCAGCCCATGATCTATTCAATTATACACATACAACACCACATTTTCTCACAAAGTAAAAAAACATACTATTAAGCTAGGGGTACAGCCAAAATTAGAAACTGAAATCATATTGTAAAATACACTCCGTCCCCCGTCTCAAACACCGTGCAACATTTCTTTTTCTGTTTGTTCTAAATTTACTGCAGCATTTCCAAATTTAAAAATAATTAATATATATTAATATACACTTCATTTTATCCCCTCCTATCACTCAAATAAATTTCTCTCCAATCACGTCACTTAATATCCAAATTATATCAAATTACCATACTTAATACTCCCCACTTAAATTTCCATGCCAAACACAAACATTGCACAGTTTGGGACGAAAGGAATATATTTTATTGGTCACAGCACAAGGCGACAACAGAAACTTCTAAGACCTAGAAGATGAATCAACTAAACTAAACACTTAATTTTCTGTTATTCAATCCAATTAAGAAAGAGTCAATCCAATTTGTAAAGCATTTGCAACAAATGGGAATGACAAATAAAATGAATCCAAAAAGATGGCATAAACTGCACAAAAGTGCTTCTTAAAAGGATATGGCCACAGCAATTAAATTTCACAAAATACTGGCTAGGGAAATTATATGTCATCAGTCAGTAAAATCCCACCAAAAAACACCACATAAAATGCCACAAGACAAATTGACCAGACCAGATACAATCTTCAGCCAAAAAAAACACATTCAGAAACCACGGCCCTAAAGATCGACCAACCCCCTACAATCTGCCCTTAAATCTGTATCCACATCAACATCGACATTGACATCGGCATCAACATCAACCTACTCCTAGACGGAGCACACATTTTTACTGCCAAATATATGTATATATTAAGGTTCAACATCTGCTAAGGTGGGTAAACCACCAATGCCATCAGGTACCTCATGAAACCAATTACAGTTGTGGTTCTAACAAAATGCATCTCTCCCCTCCCCCCCCTGGTGTGCTTCTAACCTGGCCTCTAATCCTGCTCGATGCACCAAGTGTCACAAGTCAAAACGTCTAGATATTTTTATTTTGTTGCTTTGAACGTAAACTAGAAATATAGATCATATAAGAAGCGAGAACTACCTGGATGGGTGTCTACACGCACAATGATATGAATTAGTTGTGGCCATACAGAAAGGAATCTAGTGCTCAAATCTCATGCCTCTCCCACTCACTCCTGAGAATCTGTATGAACAGAGCCGCCGGTTTGTGTTTGTCTCCTGTAATAATTTCCGCCGCCGCGCTTGGGGTGGTGATTCTGGCCTCTTTCCCAGTGTCTACGGTCCATACTCTCAGATGCTCTGTCTGCAGGATGACCAACAGGCTGGTACTCATAGTGCACATTTTGCCTCTGTCTGTCACGATATGATGGTGGGTTGTGTGGCCTAGTATTATCATGGCTTGCTGACCAATCATTGCGAGATTCATGCCCCTTGGAGAAGCGGCTGTTTTGCCTCGCATTTCTTCTAGATCCAGAAGGAATATTGTGGTCAACCTGATAATCAGTGTGAGCATTAGGAACCAATTCGCCAGAGTCTACAGAGTCCTGGTTTGGGGAAAAAGGTCGCCTTCTTGCAGGAGCAGGCTTCTCTCTGCTAGTTTCTTGATGATGGCCTATAATGGCCTCAGCCGTATTACTTTCAACGTTGGCAGATTCACCTTGTTTTGGTTGAGAAGCATTCACTGACTCATTATCATGGGAATGTGCAGGCTGAACTTTACGGTGAGAGTTATCCTTCTTTGCAGGCCTATTGATCACATGAGTCTCAGATTCAGTTCTGTTCCCCTGCTGAGTATTGGTGGAGTGTGTCTGAGACTTAGGTTGCCATTGTGACGATGTTCGTTCCCCAATAGTTCTGTTCTCTTTCGAAACCACTGGTCTGTCTGTGTGGTTCACATTAGGTGCTGCAGAATGAATAGAGCTTCCATCAGGTTCAACTCCAAAACCAGTCTCAGAATCAGGATTCTTTCCCGTGGTTCTATAACCCCTGGGGGGATGTCTCTTTCCTCTCCCAGTTGCTCCATGATCTCTTGAAGAAGAATATTTGTTTCCAGAAACTGTAGTTGGGTTATCTAGTAAGGTATCACTTCCTAGCGTATTGATGTTGCCAGAAGATTTGGGGTCAGCACTTGAAGAATTTATCTCAACTTTGACCAATTGAGAGCTCTCCTTAGATTGTTGAATGTCTCTGTTAATCTCAGATGCTGGGATGGCCCCAAACTGCAAACCTGTAACAAGAGATATATCTGCTGAACCCATCTGTTTCCATATTCCAAGATCATTTTTAGGCTTGCTATGATGACCATTGCCGTCATTCTCAACATTGGACCAAACAGGCTGGGTACCCACATATTCAGCTGAACCAGACTGTTCTTTCCCAGGAACCTCAGTTGATCTAGATGACTTAGTTGAAGAAGGTTGAACACTTCCTTGCTGAGCCAACTCCTTTGCCACAGGCTTGGGAACATATCTCTCCATTTCAGCTCTTTTGCTTCTCAAACTGCTCTGTCCTGCATTGTCCCCCTTTGTTGGATTAGCTGATTCAAGGATGGAATTTTGACCAGCATCAGCGGGGCATTCCTGCATAAAGTTAAGAGTTTCACTAACCGAACCCTTGCTCTTGTTCTGCGTCGGCACAGGTGCCCACACAGCAGTGTCATTACTGTGGAGTTTTCCCATGGATCTATTAAACTGCTGGGTTCTAGGTATTTTGCGCACAGTATTAGGTTTCCACTGGTTGGATCCTCTCCCATGCATTTCCTCACTGGGTACACTACCCTGAGCATGGCCCTGCACTCCATCGTATGCAGCAACATTCAGTACACAGCCATCCACATTTGACAAAGAACTCTTAGACTCGCCAGTCTCAGAAGTCACCTTTTTGGCATTGGGGTCAGAAAGTACTTGTGGCAATGCAAGATTCGTTGAGTTCTCAGCAACTTTGTGCTTATTCTTATTAGATCTATTGTTTTTCCTTCTTTGATGACCAGACGACGGCTCAGCCAAAATGCTGGATGGGTTGGATACATTTGACTCGTCCCTAAATATTGTCGTATCACCTGCAGCTGCAGCAAAAGGATCTTTCTGTGTATCCGATGCAGCTTTGGAAACAGGTATTTCATTTAAGCTCTTCTGCGATGAATTATTAGTCTTCTGCTTATAGCCTGTCCTCTTGTGTCTAGAGATGCCTTCATTATTAACCTGAGATGATTCTTTCTGGGCTTTATCACGAGCATCCTCATGCGTAAGCACTGGGGTGATACTAGATTCCAATGGGTTGGTGTTTTCTTCAGCTTTTTTTGCATTGTTGTCATCATCTGCAAATGTCCCACTAGGATTGGAGACCAGATTCAAGCCAGGTGCCTGAGACATCTGATCAGCCACTACTGATTCACCACCTGCAAGCAATCCTTGTTTTCTCTGGATGTCCCCAGTGACCTCAACTTGTTCATCCTTCTGGCTTCCAGCTTCACCTGTTGACATCCGTCGATTCAATTCTTCCAATTTTGCCAAAGCCTTGGCCTTCTGCTCCCTAGTTCTCTCTTCTTCTTCCTTCTGTAGTTGCAATGCTCGCTGCTTTGCTAACTCTCTCATCTTGGTACGCTGATTGATATATAAAGATAAGTTTCAAAGAAAAGAAAATGCATGAGGAAGGCAATGAAAGCATTAATAAATGTATATATATAAACCTATACCTGACTGTCAGATGAATCATATGTTTCGACCGAGTCTACTTCAAGCCTATCTGTTGGATTGATCAAAGAAGTCTCAGAAGCTTCCACAGCAACATTAGGTAAATGTGCCTTGATACTAGGTTCCGGCTCAATACTGGAAGCTAGAACTTCATTCAAAGAGTCAGTGTTAGGAGGTTTCTTCCTCCACCCATCAGGGTCCTGACTGAATTTTCCTCTGCCACGCTGATCAACTCTACCCTGCCTACCATGCGATGTTCTCCTGCAAAAGAGTGATTTAGTAATAGAAGCCCCAGTGTTGTTTCTAACTAGCACAAATGTTGAAGCCTGAAAGTATAAAGCACATAATTTGAATCACACCTAGACACAACAGCATTCGATTGTATTGGCTTATCACTAACAGGACCATCCACTTCATGCTGACCAGAGCTAATACTTTTGGGGTATGGATTCCTTTGTAAATGTTCAGTATTACCCACTTCACCAGTATTGTTATTGCTCTTTGAATCCACTGTGCCAGACTTGTCCTTATCCACATCTCTATTATAAGCACTGGGTCCATCATTTCTCCCATCAAACACACGAACCTTTGCATTTAGACCATCAATTTTATGCATAAGAACCGATTTTATAGCAACAGCAGATTTTGATGAATCTTTCTCACTTCCATGTGAAAGGATTTCCGGACGAAAAGATGGCTCATCCCCAGACTCATTTCTGCTATAATCATTAACTGCATTCGCATTGCCAGTTCCTTCAAATGATTTCACTTTCATAATGTCTCCTGAATGTACTTGATGCCCAAAATTGAGAGATGAAATCTCATTTGGCATAGCCTTCTTGGAACTAATAGATTCTTCTGCATCCACCTCAGCACCCCACTCATTTGTCTTGGAGATCATAGGAAGGAGATTTTTTCCAGGATATGTGGCATTGGGTTGCATTGTATTTTTCTGACTGTCTCCTTCATCCCTTTGATCATCATATTCATTGTGTTTCCTTAGAGGAGCTCTTTTTGATCCTTGTGGATCCTCTAAATAATCAGCTTCCATTTGTCCTGGTGTATTTCCCACTTGATGTCCACCAACTCTGCCATGTGGGTCACCAATATCAGGACGTCCGGCAGCATAACCAGTATAAAGAGGTGGTCCTGGTGCCATGCCCATATATGGTATATCCCGTTCATTGTTGCAGTAACCCATTGGAGGTCCATAGAAACTCTCAAAGGCCATTGGGCCAGGGGGTGGCGGGTAGAAACCAGGTCTAAATGGCATTCCTGGTCGTGCATAGGTATCATGCATCTGTGGCCTGTAAAAATCTCCATTTTTGGGGTGAGGTCCTCTAGGACCAGGCCCCCGGTGTGGGACAGGTTGTGAACCAGCCATACGTGGTGGTGGCATCTGAGGATGATAATAAGGAAATGGTTCTGCTGGAAAGCCACCAGGAGGAGCAGGAGCCCCAAATGCAGGAGCCCTAGGACGTCCTCCATACCAAACACCTGGTGGACCATTCGCAGGAGGGCCATGCCATGCATCAAAATGCTGAGGGGGAGCATTAGTTTTCATGTATTGATGGTGTTCCGCATGCCATTCCTCCATGTTGGGGTGGACATCATCTTCTGTGATCCGGGTACCATCCGGCCTCCATGTATTTACAGTTCCGTGCTTCATATCTGCACCCAAACCATATCATCAAGCATGCTTCACAAGAGTTGAATAAGGTCTGGAATCAATAGAAAGCTGTGCACAGACTAGTGTGCAATTTTGTACCATCTTTAATTTGAGGTATTCTGCCAGAAGCAGAACTAGGACGGCAGCAATCTGTCAAAAAGTTAAACAATGGTCAGCAAGGCATACGATAAAATACCCATTGACCAAAATTCACACTATCCTGCAAAGGAGTTGTCTATAAGGAACAAGCCCTAGCCAGGAAGCCTATGATACTGAGCTTTCAGAGTTGCACTGTCAAGCATTTGAAGCTATGTTCAATATGATAAGACACTTTTCAAGTAACTAAAATAGGACACCACATAGGCACAAAAGTCAGCACTGAATCATAAGCAAATTGACTCACTTGAACCACTATTAACAAGGAAACATAAGGGATTTCTGTGCTAAAATGCCCAAGACGGTGTAGAAATAGCTATAATTAAAAGCAGAATTCAAAACTAAACAATGATGCTTGATAAAGCAATAGCTATCCATGAGGATATAATCACCTCCCGATTCAACATTCCTTCCTATATTGTCTTTTTCAGAACCAAGAGTAGGAAAATCCCCAGAAGTCAAAGAGAACTCATCTTCCTTGGGCTTCACTCCCTGTAAAATTGCCCACGGACCATAAATAAGCAAATGTATAGAGTAATTTAAAGATACACAATTAGCTACAATGCTCACTACTTTAGATCAAAACTGAAAGAACGAGTATCATCAACAAGGACAACCACTAATAAAGTAAGTTTTTTTTAACAAAAATCTGAGTAATTCCAACAAGAACAACCAACAAAAGACAAACCAATCTTACCAATCTTTCTGCAGTACCACTCGGACCCCATGCTACTGAACCTTTGGTCGCAGGCTCAGCAAACCTAGATAGCTGTGAGCTATTAGGCCTGTTATCTGCACTTCTAGGACGCAAGGTTGCTGTTGATGTCTGACTAGATGACAAAGTCCCAGAGGCAGATGAAGGCCTAGAATTTGAACCCCAGGCATTCCCAACGGATTCTTGAGCTTTATCACTGCCAGCCGTTGATGGTCGAGTTCCACTTCCACCTGACGAAGGTCGACCACTGAGGTGATTAGGTGAAACAGTACCTCCATCAGCATTTGGCGATGTAGATGAGATCCACGGGTTTGAACCAGAGGAAGATGGGCGACTTCCCCAGCTTAAAGTACCCCTGTTGTCAAAATTCAACGTAATAGAAAATTAGACCTGACAAAGAGCAGAAACATATCTAACCATAGAAGGTTAAGGTAAATTGTACCAGAATGTAATTAAGAAGAATACAGTAGTAATATGGCAACAACCAACAAAAAACACCAAACACTCACTTGGGAACAATCTCAACATTAGGATCCAAACCATGATTCTCCAACCTTTAAAAAAAAAAATTAAAATCAATGAACATTGTTATAAAGCAGTATATAAGAACACACATCAAAAGAAAGATAAACGAAGAAAATGTGAGGATAAAAGTACCGTTGGCTTGGGAGATTCAGGGGTTTGGGAACAGCAACTTTTCCTAAGACAGTCATACCACCCCTTCTGGCAGAAGCCCACCTAAGGAGGAAATCAGGTGCCCATCAGAAAACTACTAATGGTATGTTTTAGGTATCCTGATCATGGTGCACTAATATTGCCTGCCCTACTAGCGCACATTTAAAGTTAAAGTAAAAACAAACTTAAAGGCCATATGCATTTCTTCACATATATTGACAACTTCAAATCAGTAAGTCAAGGTAGTCCGTGAAGGACACAGGTTAAGCCACACCAGTTCATTTCATACACTGCATGATGACGAGACTCATCAAAGCATAACAAACAAAACACGGCACATGGTGCATATAAAACCTCATAAAACAACAGTGCATACTCAAATGATAGAACAAAAAATACTTGGCCAATTAAAATATCAAACCACATGTAAATTGCTGAATATACCATTCTATGTATAGCACATAATATCCAATTCACACATCAGGTAAAAAGTAATAAACCACAAAGACTCATGTATAAATTCAACATCAAGAGTAAACCAGAGTAAAAAATATATAAGTAAACAAAACCTAAATAAGGATATAAAATACCTTCGCTCTCCAGCCATCATATTTGAATTCATTGGTCAACTGGCGTGCCAATGTCATCCAAACAATTTGATGTGGCCTAAAAAGTTAGCAAGGGGAAACAGTGGTCAACAAAATAAACTTTAACTAAAAAGAGACCACTAAAAACCAGAGTTTAAGTTGAAAGACCGAACTACTGATGAAACTCTCAAACGTGATGAAACAACAAACGCAGGATACCTTTCTAAAAAGGCTGTAATGCTAGAAATAACTGCTAAGGTTTAAGTTGGAGCACTTGGCATGCATACCCATCTTAGAAGTCTGTAAGTTTGATTTGCTTGTACCGACATAGACAAATGTAAAGGTTTGACATGAAAGTTATCCAGTGATATAATTCTACTTGTCCAGTTACTCAGCCAATACTGAGTACCCTTTGTTACACTAGACAAAGCAGATGCAGTAAAACCACTAGAGTTGTTACCAGACGAACAGCATAGAAGACATTATTCACCACTTTTTGACTCTACAAAGTATATGACCAATTTGATCTAAAACAATTGCACCAAAGCAGAAACAGCCTAATACCCTTTCCCTCCTCAATTTGTATCCCTTTCCATTCGATCATGTAATATTTTATTGTTTTCTGTGTCATACAAGTTCCACATCTATTCCAATATTGTTACTCCAGCATGAATATCAGATAACACATTCCACTTTCTTAGAGAAGAAAATAAATAGTGAAAGGTTCTGAAATATGAGAATTCTGGGTACATAAGATATCACATGTACCAGTTTAAGAGTAAAAGGGTCCATTCAAGCGGGATTAAAAAGAACCTCAATCAACCCCAGGTTAGTACAAGCAAAGATCTTAGACTATCTCAGCAAGAATCAATTCTAGAAGAAAAGAAGGGGCCGGTTGACAATCCCGCCAAATGACCATGCTCATTCTCATTATTGTTCTTCAAAGAGACTGAAAAAAAAAAAAAAAAAAAAAAAAAAAAAAAAATCTCATCACAGTACGTATGAGTTATGATACCAATATAATACTAACCAAGGTGAAATTTCAGGCCCCAACAAACACTTTAAATAGGCTACTCAGCTGCCTTAGAAAGATTAACTGTCAACACATATCCCCTATCACAACATTCAACCATATATCATTAGCCCAATGATTCTTAACCCAGAGACTCAAATATATCCAATGCAGCACTTGTTCAGAGTTTATCACATATTCATTCTATCCAAAGATCGTATGAGATGCAAAAGATTATAATAGGGACGAGAATCTATCACGCAGGTCGTACCTACCAACCGAACACAGAAGTCAGTTAGCCTAAGAACGACAAACAATATATACACGTCACACATCCCGTCAAAAACATCTGTTAACGCCCATATTCTAGGGGGAAACAACTCATATCACGGACCAAAACCTCGTGACACCAAAAATTGAAACCCTAGTTTGCGATTTTCGTTTCGCCTCCGAATCAATCAAAATTAGATCTTCACGCCGTGACAAGCGAACAAATATTAGAAACACTTAAACCATACATACAAAAAGAGTTGGAACCAACCGCGAAGTCAGCGACAGAAAACTGGATCTTCGATCTGCGAGAGACAAATTCGAACAAACGAAAAATTATACAAACTATATATAGATATAGATGGAAGAAGAGAGATGACTGCGGCGGCGACCGTACGGCGGCGTTGGTTGGTCGGTCGGTGGTAGGGCACGGACACAAACGGCGGCGATGGGGCGAGGGGATCGGAGGGTGGAGAAGAAACGAAGAGGCGAAAGGGAATGGGTAAAATGAAACGAATGCAAAGTCTCACCCAGGCTTAACTTAACTTAACTATGGTTGAGTTATCCTCGTTTCTGCCCTGCCCTGCCCTGCCCTGCCCTCCTTTATTATTATTATTATTATTAGTATTATTTCTTTTATATCAAATTGGTTGATCAATTGTTTGTTTTGACAGCGATTTTTTTAGGTTTTTGAATATTTGAAAAAAATAAAAATAAAAAAAAAAAATAAATTTAATATTTGATTTGATATTTTGTAAAAGAAAATATGTATTTAATGGGATGTTTTTTTAAAAATGAATATTGCAAAAATGTGTTGAGTAAACCGAAGGATTTTTGGCAAACTTTTATTGTTTATTGAATTATTTTTTAAAAAAATATCAAATCAAAAACATTTATTTTTTATTTTTTATATTATACTAAAAATTAATTTTACGTTATACGTTTATTTTATATCACATCATTCAACTATTTCAATTTAAGATTTTTATTATTTAAGTCTCAACTCAAAATTCAAATCTTCAGACAAAACCATTTACATTTTACAGAATTTTACAGAATTTTTATAATTTATCAAATTTTTTGTTGTTAAAATATCATAGTTTTGAATGTATATAAATATATTTACTTATTGAAAAGATAAATAAAAATAAAGAATTTTGAATGGATCTTGTACTTTCATAAATAAAATAAAATAAAATTAAGAGCATAGTGTTGATCTCAGTCGGTAACCAAATCGACCTTTAATTGTTTTGAAATTAATAGATGTGATATTTGTAATAGAATTTAGGGTGTGTTCTTCTTATGAAAACACCATTTCCTAAAAAATATGTGTGTTTGTTTTGTATTTTTATCTTGAGGTATATGAAATTGTAATATAAAAATAAAGGTGTGTATAATATATTAATTTTATTGGAGAATTGTGTTGAAAATTTTTACAAAATGGATTTTTTTTTTTTTAAAGTATCTCTTTAAACCATTTCACTAAACAAACAAACTCGAAATATTTTGACTTTTAAAAATATTTTATAAATGAAATATATAAGTAATTTTAACATAAATAATTTTTATAGTTAGATAAAAATTATTAATACAATTATTTGCAATAATACTAAAAATATAAATATAAACTAATAGTTTTAGTAACAAATTATCTACGGAATTATATATAGTATAAATTAAAGATTAATTTTCTTGAAAGATTTTTACTATTTACAATTTTTTCTTAAAAATAACAAATCAAACATTTATTTTTATTTGTATATTATATTAAAAATAACAAATCAAACATTTATTTTTATTTGTATATTATATTAAAAATTAATTGTACATTACATATTTATATTATATCGAATAATTATTCAAAATCCAAACTCAAAATCTAAAAATTCAACAACTATATGTTTCTTTTGATTGAGTTTAAAAAAAATTAGTTTGGATTTGTATTAAAATAATATTTTATGAGAGATTTTATGAGAGAAAAATATGTAATTTTTTTTTTTCGCGAAAAGCAGAATTCAAATAGTAAAATTTGAAAAAATTGGTCTAAAGAAACATAAAAGTGTTTATTAATTGTGGAATGAATTGTTTAAAATATAATAATTAAAAATATTTTTAGTTTTAAAAAAAATTTGGCCCTGCCCCATTTGATATTTTGTATCTTGAAATTTCATAATAAAATAAATTCCAAAAAAAAACATATTTTTAAAAGTTGTGCTTTAGACAAACTTTTGTAGAAACTTATGTATAAAACATCATAATATGTTAGTTTTAGATGTTATGTAAAATATTCTAAAAAGTTGATTTGATACAATCTTAATGATTAATTTGAAATGTATACATTTAAATTTTTCTATATAAATTATAAAATTGTCAAAATTTACTATTTTAAAATATAAAAAATCACTACTCACTTTAACTGTGAAAATAAAGAAAAAATATTATCATAAATTAAAACTCTTATTTCAAAAACAAAGTCAAACAAACAGTCTATCTAATAGATCTTAGTTATATGTTATTTTTTACTATTTTACCTTTAATAAAAATATTATAATATTGACGAAGATAATTCCAGTGTCAATTATGCTAGCATATACGGTTATTTGCATCTCACTCCTCGTCTCATTGTTGCTTTGGCGGAAAAAGGGATCCTGATGGTATCTCGGTGTGTCTGTTTGGGGTTCAATTTTTTTTGTTTGATTTGAATATTAAAATTTTTGAATTTAATAGTTGTATATTGCGATATTTAGAATGTAAAATTTATTTTTATGGTATATGCATGTGATTTGATATTTTTAAAAAAAAAAAACAATTTTTATAAAAAGTAAAAATTTGTGAAAATTTGATTTAAAAAAAAAAAATGCCCCAAATATGTAAATGTCAATAGTAGGAAGGTTGTGTTTAATAATTTCGGACAAACACACTTAACTCTGCTAATTTTATTCAGAAGAATAAAAAAAGAATAATTTCTTTTCTGATATCGGAAATCAACCATGCTGACAATTAAATTAAAGAACATAACAGATAGTGAAAAAAAAAATAAAGAGATTATTTGATTTATTGGTCTTCGAGAATTGGATGATGATTAGAAATATGTGTTTTGTGTGCACATATACAATACAAGATGATTATTTAATATTTTGTCATTCATACTTTTGTCAAATTTTCTATAAAAATAAAAATTTTATTCAGTCTTTAATTTTATTTGATTTTTTTTTTTTCTTTGATTCCTTTTATTATATATATATATAATTATTATAAAAAATATATATTATTTTTTCACAACAGTATCACACTCAAGATTGGATAACAATTATTTAAAAAATTAGATTTAATATGGATGCATGATTCAATACAAAAATTATTATATATTTCTATATACAATTCTGATAGCAAATAAAGGGATTATTAGGTTTAGGTACTGTCATCCCTAAATTAAATAATCTTTCCTCATTAATTCATTAAAATGAAAGTCTACTATTATTATGGGTGGACATTGTTTGTGTATTTGCAAATACACATATACACTTGTATTTGATATTTGAATAATACCCGAAATCTCGAATTGTATTCGAACAAAAAATTTTTAGTTAACCGAAAATATTTGTAATATTTGTAAATAATTCGAACCGAATCAAAATTAAAAAATATATATATTAAAAAATAATTAAAATTCTAATTAAATAAAAATATTTGCAAACATTTCAAATATTTGAACCGAAATCGAATCGAATATAATTATTAATATAAATTTTAAAATATAATAATATAAATATATTCAATTCGGTTAACTTAACCGAACCGAAACAAAAAAAATATAAAAAACTGAAACCGAATCGAACTGAACAAATATCAAATATAAAACATTTGTATTCAAATCGTATTTGCTCAATTAACCAAAAATTCGGTTTGGTTCAGTTCAGTTCAACGGTTCGACGGTTTGGTTCGATTTTTTTGCCTACCCCTAATTATTATTGTGTATTAAATTTAATTGCACTGAGTATTTGAATTAAAGTAAAATTTTGGTTTCAATTCAAAAACTTCAAACCTAAATTTCTATATACTCAAATTAAAGTAACCAAAGTGTAGAGCTATAAACGAACTAAGCTATTCGTGAACTTGGCTCAGTTCGATTCGATTGGAGCTCATTCGCAAACGTAAACATGTCGAATCAAACAATATAAGTAGACTCGTTCGGTTAACAAACAAGTTCGGATCTTGTTAACGAATGCTTGTTAATATATGTTATGAAATTATTAATTAATAAATAAAATAAAATAAAATATTCTATGTATATGAATTAAAAAATAAAATAAAATATCAATCATATTCAAACGAGAGCTCAAATAAGTTTAATCAAGTTGAACATGAACAAGAACTTGTATAATAAAATTACTTAACGAAATAAGTTCGAACATTACAAACGAGCTCGAATGCTTAACTAACAAACATCCACGAATTTTATTTGCAAACATTAACAAAGTACGTGACAAACTAGTGTTCTCAATGCATTCTCTTATGTAGTTTGATGAAATACAACATAAAAGATAGCTATTGAAATTCGTCCAAAGTTTTGGTTTAGGTTAGGATAATTTATGTAAGATATCTTTATATATATTTTGGAAAGTAGAGAGATTTTCGATCTATTATTTTACTATTTTAAATCAAAATTAATACTATTTATTTCACACAATTTTTAATAAAAAATATATTTCCTTTGTCCTATAACAAAGTATCTATTTTTTTATTTTAGTCCGTCCCATAACAAAATATTCATTTTCTTTTTTAGTAACTGTACTATCTAATTAACATTACAAATACCCTTACAACTTACAATATATTACACAAATATCATTACCTTTATATCACACGTACTAATAAGGTTATTTTAGTCATTTCTACTTTATTCCTACTATATCGCAATATAATACTAATATTTCTAAAATTACGTGAAAAAACAAATGAATACTTACTTTTGGGACGGATGGAGTATTATTTTTGTTTTACAAATATCATATTAAAATATTATGGGTAAACTAATTTTTTAGTCCGTATATGACATCCTTTATTATTTTAGAATTTTAAATGGATCATGTATGAAAATAGTCTCGTAGGTAAATTTTTTTTGTTAAAATAGTCTTTTGGTGCTGGATTCTCCACGTTGGTCCGCCGTTGCTGATGAGGTGCTGACATGACTAACATGTTATCACCACGTCGGTGACACATCGGAGGACCAGTTTAGCAAAACAATTTTATTTGCAGGATTATTTTCAAATAGAGTCAATTTAAAGTCCTAAAAGAATAAAAAGGTCAAAAATACGATACTAAAAAACAGTTTAACAAGATATTTTGTAAAATAAAAAATAAAAAATTTTCACATGTCGCTGACATGGAATCTACGTAGCGATAATATGTGAGTCACATCACCATGTCAGCAACGGAGGGCCAACGTTGCAAGCCGGCACCCGAAGACCATTTTAAAGAAAAGTTTTTACTTTGAAGACTATTTTGAAACATAGTCCAGTTCAAATTAATAAAATGATAAAAGGAGTCAA